TTCCTAGACTGTTTCCAGAACAATAGGATATTAGTGAACTGGATCTTGTGAGCTACACCTCAAGCACACCTCATGTCCCACTTATGCAAGTGAAAACATACTTGTCCTCTTGCCAAGCTTCTGCCTAAATAATGTCTTCCATTTTTCTACTGTTGGGGTAATCTCCAAAGTCAGATTTCTTTGAATTTACCTCTGAAGAAGAAAAGTTAATATTCTTATATTTTCTGCCACAACTTTGTTTTATCCACCTGTAAGCTTCTGCACAAGCTACATGAATGGTCAAAGTGTCCAGATATTTAGTGCGAGCTTGTCGTTTGCAGTATTTAACTAGTATCCTGAATAGATTGTAAATAATTCCAATTAGAACTCCATTTTTGGTCAGGCTACCCAAGTTAGGGTCTTCATTGCCTTATTGGTATAAGCAATTTCTTCAGGAAATTCCATGGTGACTTCAATGCATGCCTGACAGAGATAGTGGTTCTATAACAGAAATTTGGAGTGAAGAAGACTCTATATACCGTACCTCAACAACCAGTCAAAATAATGAAAGATTAGCCCCAGGAGAATGCTCTTGAAGTCCTTCCACAATAGAGACTTCTGCAGTACAGACACAACCCTCAGAACATAACAACGCTGCCAGTACACTCTGGGCCCTCCACAATTTGAGGTTTAAGGAGGCAAGGATATAGCTCTGATGAAGATTATGATCAACTTGCCCCATCTCTTAGCACAGATATATGGAAGGGTACACAAGTCAGCAGTTTGTGGGAGAGCTAGGATGATCAGACTAATGGACCAGAATAACTTATAATGTCCTGCATAAAACTGGTGAAATGGTCACAAATGCAGCCAGAAAATAATGGCAATGTTTACCCAAGCAATGTGTGTTATATGTAATTCCATGTGTACACGGATTCTCTATTGAAGTTGCAAGAATCTGTTGATGATGCATATTTGCTCATGACTGTGTATGTGAATATGTTGTTATTTTGCCTATTTTGTTATTTACTGGACCTACCAGTTATTATTGCCACCTGGCTGTGCTTCTACTTTCCCAGGCTTCAATACTGTGCCTCAGCTTGCAGTCATACCCTGGAACCTCCTGCCATTGCTGTAACCTTCTCACCCTGGAATAAGCTTCTGTTAGGTGAGTCCCCTTCTTTCATTGAAGAATTGCTCCCAATCCCTCCATTTTTGAAAGAGGTCCAGGTTAATTTTCATTCTCCTCCTTACTGTGATTCTGACTCTTTGCATTTTAGCATCATGCCCTTGCACCAGGTACCTTCCCTCTCCCTCCCTATTCCAGCTCTCTCCTGGGTGTTGTCTTCCCCTTTAGATTGCATGTTTCTTGAAAGCAGGGATTGTCTTTCTTTCTCACTTGTATTTATATTCCCAGCACTTAACAGTGTCTGCCATGTAGTAAAGTGCTTAATAAATGTGTGTTGCCTTTTCTCGTTGCCTGATTTTGTTTGCTGTTTTATACGTTTTTGTTTTGTTATGGGTGAGGCAATCAGGGTTAAGTGACTTGCCCAGAGTCACACAGCTGGTAAGTATTAAGTGTCTGGTCTAAGACCAGATTTGAACTCAGGTCCTTCTGACTCCAGGGCCAGTGCTCTATCCACTGCACCACCTATAGCTGCCCCTTTATATGTTTTTCTTGTGTTAAAATGGATACAAATGTACTATTGTGATATGTGTATGTAATAGATCCTGCATGTAGTTTAGACCTCTAGTCACTGAAACACTTCTCATTGTATTCTTTCTATTGCATGTATGGTTGATGGGACAATTCCCAGGCAATTCCCTGGGACACTGAATAATCATCCTTGTTCTTTTTAGAGACTGCTGTGTCTTTTGATGCTGTACCATATAATTCTAGATGCCAAATTTACTGAAGATGATTTTGCAAGGGACTGCAATATTTCAAACCCCTGGGAGGCATGGAATAGCCCTTCTGTAGCCTAGACTGATTGCCTTGGAGGGGACGTAAGTTACTAAAGACCCTGGGCCTAGATTACTTCTTAGACTGAGAAGAGAGGATTTTTATTGTAGGATACAAACCAGAGGGCAGAGTTTTTTAGTACAGCAGGAGTTTGAAAATTTCCTCCGAGAGGGTCGGGAAGAGAGTTGGAGAAAGAGAGCCCAGTGGTAGTGATAGCAGTAGAGGCAACTCCAGACTTATAAGGGAAGGCTTAAATTAGTACTATAAAGGTATGGAGGCCCATATAGGTCCCATCTCCCCAGGGATTTCAAATTCATTTTGCCTCTGAGAGGAGCTAATTCTTTAAGTTGATATTGTTAGTGGGAAGACCTATATGGGTCCCTGATGCAAAAGGTGGGACTTACTTGAAAGTGCAGAATTTTATCAATTGGGATTTTTGGGGGTGTGGGGAGAGGGCTGCTACTAAGGGTCCTTGGTGCTGTTTTTCAATTTCGGTGGAGTGAAATGCTGTCTGGTATCCACTATACTGTGTCACTTCAAAGGGAAGGCTTGCAAGGGGAAATGAAGCCCCTTTCTCACACATATGTGAGGACATAAGCATGAAAGAAACTCTGGTCTGGAAAAAGGCAAAGAGATGATTTCTTGAGAAGCCCTTGGGTGAAATCCAGTCCATGAAAACCTAGAACTTGGGATTCTTAGCCATAGGTTACAGTTATTTGTATTCATGTCTTATGGGAGACCATTAACCTCCCAAGGGCACAAAACTGTATCTTATCTATGCTTTGTATCACTCCAAATGTCTAGCTCAAGGCAATCACAAAAATAGGTGATTAATAAATAAATACTTGTTGCTACTGTTGCCATTATTCCCCATAGAAATATTGTTATACATAGTGGTTAAGACTTCATGGTTTTCTTAGCACCATACTAAATCTCCAGACACAAATGAGTCAAATGGACTTTTGTGGTACATTATTAGTTGGTTTCTGACCACGTTGCTAAATTTAAACTGCTTTCTCCAAAGTTGTTAATAACTTCTTAATTTCTAAATCTAATAACCTTTTCTTAGCCCTCATCCTTCCTGAACTTGTAAGCATTTGATTCTATTGACCACCCTTTCCTCCTAGATACTCTGATTTTTCATGACATTATTCTCTCTTGATTTTCTTAACTGTCTGACCATGCTTTTTCAGTCTCCTTTCTTGGTTCATCATCCATATCATGCCCCCTAACTGTTCTTTGAGAAACTGTCCTGGATCCTCTTCTATTCTCTCACTATACTTTCTCACTTGCTAACCCCAGCCCCAAGGGAGCATAGTTATAATCTCTCTGCAGATGACTCCCAAATCTATATCTAGTTTCTCTGCGGAGCTCTGACTTTGCCTTTGAAATTTCCTATAGTACATTTTCAATGCTATGTTCCATGGGCATCTCAAACTCAACATGTCCAAAATGAACTCATTATCTTTTTCCCAAATCTTATCCCTCTTCTAAATGTCCATTTTTCTATCAAGGGCACCATTCCAGTTAGCCAGTTTTAAAACCTTGGTGTTATTCTTGACTCCTCCTTCTCCAATCAATTGTCAAATCTTGTTGCTTCTATCTGCACAATATATTTTTTTAAATCTTTTTTTTTTTAGGCAATTGGGGTTAAGTGACTTGCCCGGGGTCACACAGCTAGTAAGTGTCAAGTGTTTGGTCTGAGGCTGGATTTGAAATCAGGTCCTCCTGACTTCAGGGCCGGTGCTTTATTCACTGCACAATATTTTTTGTGTTCTTCCCCCTCTCTCTGCTCACGTAGCCACCACCTGGTTCAGGCGCTCATTGCCTCTCACTTGGGATACTGGTATAGCCTAATTGAAACTAGCTCAAATCTCTCTCCTCTCTAGTCTACTTTCTACACAGATGTCAAAGTGATTTCCCTAAAGTATAAGACTGACTATCTCAGTCCTCTACTTAATAAACACCAATGGCTCCCTATTGCTTTTGAGATCAATCCATGAGTCAATAAGCATTTATTAAGCACCTATGTCCCAAGCACTGAAATAATCTGGACTCTCAAGGAGTTTACATTCTAACAAATCAAATATAAGCTCCTCTGTTTAGCTTTAAAATCCCTTCACAATTTGGTCTCAACCTACCTTTCCAACTTTTTCCTTCTTCCTGCACTCTATGCTTCAACCAAACGTCTTACTATACTTCACACATAACACGACTCCATCTCCCACCTCCATTTCTTTGTACTAGCTGTCCCCCATGCTTTGACTGTACTACTTCACGTCTACCTCTTAGAATTTCATTTCCTTCAAAACTGCTGAAGAGAAACCTTTTACATGAAGCCTTTCCTAGTTATCCCAACTGTTAGTGCCCTATCCAAATTTAACATCTGTTTATTTTGAGCAAATTTTGTATCCATGTTTATGTTGTTTCTCCTAATAAGTTTTCTGAGAGCAGGCATTATTTTTAAAAATTGTATACTCAGCACCTAGTATAGTGCCTGGTGCATAGTAGGCATGTGATAAATTCTTGTCAGTTGATTGAATGATTAATGAAACCATGGATCCACTGGAGTTTTAGAGGCTGTACTTCATATGTAGTTATAAGCTAACTGTAGTAATAGTTATTTTACCCAACTACCAGATAAGATTCTTTTGCAGAGAAAAAATATGTATTTATGAAACTGGCATAAAATTTTTTTTGGAAACAGAACTGTAAATAAAACCAAAGCTAAGTATATGCATATCAGTAGTAATGGTACTAAGCAGCTTCTTTTTTGTTTTTTCGTTCTAAAAGTCAAGAATGGCATCTATTAAACAACATAAGGTAATAATTTTTATTTTTTAACCACAGTTGATCTTTTAGCCTACATGATATGATACATATTATAAATCTTTAATCCTGAGTAGTTCAATCTGAATTCTATTATAATATAATGACTAATAGGAAAAGCCCTAAATTCATTTTTCTTGTTATGAGAACAGTTATAGGGGCAGCTAGGTGGCGCAGTGGATAGAGCAACAGCCCTGGATTCAGGAGGACCTGAGTTCAAATCCGGGCTTAGACAAATAACTCTTACTAGCTGTGTGACCCTGGGCAAGTCACTTAACCCCATTGCCTAGCCAAAGAACAGAGCTATGACTAGGGTGACCACGGCTCTGCCTCAGGGCCCTAATGGCACTATAAAGTAGCACCATAGAACCTATTCAGCAAGAATAATTAAATAAAGTAGGGAGCTACCATATGGTGGAGGCTTTATCTCCTCTCTGCCTCTCCCTTGAGCTGAATTTGTCTTAAAAAGTTGATTTTCAGGCACTTTTCATACTCCTTGTTCCAAACCCAATCTGTGTGTGTGAAGGTTGACTTGGGCATTAAAAACGCTAGTTCTGTATAAGAGACAATATCTTTCTATTTTTTCTTATTTATCTTTTTTATTTTTATTTTATTTTATTTTTATTTTATCTTTATTATTTATCTTTTCTATTTTTCTCCCATGATAAAAGTACATTGAAGGAGATGCCAGGTAAGTTTAAGTACAAAGAGGAAGGGGAGAAATCATTTAAAATTTGCATCTGATGTATCAAAAATAGATTACCAAAGTTATGATATCTTTACAGTTTAGTAGCATGAATTACTTTAGTCACTTTCAGAAAGGAATGTCTCCTCAATAGTCGGAGATTTCTCCAACAAGCTAAAGCGTTCAATTCTGTGTGGAAGGGACCTAATCATTTCATACACCTGTGAATGTAGGGAAATTACCTTCAGAGAAGGCATTTTTATATTCCCAATGGTAGATGACATTGACTTGAATATATCAGAAACTTTATTCCTGAAGACTTTTGTTCGAAGAGTATAGAGGATGAAAATTTGCAGACCCTATAGATGGAATGAAAACATAATTTCATTAGTTCAGAGACAAAAAACCAAAGTATTAAATGGCGCCATCTACCCTTCCCAATCCTTATATCTTCCTCTTTAGTTTACATGTTTACAACTATGATTCATGTACTTACCTAAGAGAGGTAAACTCCTAATCCCATTAAGGAAGACTGGAGAGGGATTGACTTCAACCTGTGCCAGTCAATGGATTCAGCATAAGTTGGTGAACACTATGGAAGTATTCAGCCCATCTCATGTCTTTATTATCAACCAGTGTGGCTCCATCAGCTCTGAGTAGTGGAGATGCACCAAATATCTTTGGCTCATAAATAGCTTGTAGGGCATCATAAAAATGCTTTGAACTGTTACTAACAGTGTAAAACTGAATTTCATCTGCCTTCTTACTGAGCCAAGAATCCTGCATCTCTCTAAGCTTTGCTTGTACTTTACTTTTGATGGAATTAAATGCTGCCTTTTTAGATACAGATGAACCATCCTGCTGGTAGACCCTATAGAGTTCTCATTTTTTTCATCAAGTAGCTTCTGAATTTCCCCATGATTTTCATCAAACCAATCCTGATGTTCGTGAGTGTTCTGGGCCAGATGAGTAAATGTAGTACTCTACACCAAATCGAAGCCTCACTAAGGAAGTGTTCAGCCCATCTCATGATGAAAACAGAGTGAAAACCCTCTGAAAGCTGCCCACTCCTTTTTTGCTCCACTGTTAACAATAGTGTGTTGGCTCAACTTTGTCTCCAAGTCAGTAACAAACTGTTCACACACAGAGAAGTGATCTAATCTGTTGATGTCTTCTGATGGTTGTCATGCCTTGGGCTGCTGCTTTTGTTGAGTGTAAATGTTTAGCTTGGAGAGGATGTCTATGATCATCCAACACTCTGCATCACACGTGGCGTTCGTCATTCTCACATCCTGTCCCTCTTGTTTCCTTACAATGGCATAGTCTACTAAATGCCAATGTTTGCTGTGAGGTTGTGTCCATGAAGTTTTGTTGCATGTAGGTAAATGGAACACAGTGTTGCTTAGGAAAAGGTCATGAGATGCACAAACCTTCAATAGTAAGTGATCGTTGCTGTTGTGTGTTCCATCTCCATTCCTCCCAATGACTCCTGCTATATCTGATAACCTTTGCCTGCTCTGGAGCTAAAGTTGCCCAGAATTACAAGACTGTTTTCTTTCAGTACATTGATGATGAGGGTCTCCTTATGTAAGCAACAGCAGAGGAGCTGTGCTTATTAAGATACTTAATGCATGTTTATTAGAACAAAACAAATTCGAGAACTATAAAGGACCTTAGAGATCTTCTCATTCAACCCTCTAATTTTAGGAAAGAAATATCCAAAGAGACTGGAGAATGACATGGCAAATCACTCCAGTATCTTTGCCAAGAAAACCCCAAACAAGGTCATGAAGAGGTTGGACATGATTGAACAACTTAACAACAACAACAAAGAAAAAACAACAAAGAAGTAATGAGTGCTTTAACTGGGGTGGACGGAGAGGAGGTCATGGATATGATTTTGTATAGCACAGGCGTCAAACACAAGGATAGCTGCTATCCTTAGCACTCCCAGTGCTAACCAGATTAAGATGTAATCGAGAAATATTTAACAAAATAATTTAAGATACAATAGAACACAACGATAAATGTGATTTTCAATATGGAGCCCACAGGGATCCTTATATACAGTGTAGTGGCCCCTTTTTCTACTTGAGTTGACACTACTAATATATAGGGATTCCTGTTCAAGTATGGATTAGACTAGATGACCTCAGAGGTCCTTTCCAACCTGGAGATCCTGGAATTCTGTAATTCCATGTTACCAGACAAGTGTTCAATTGCCTAGACTAGATTCAAATTTCCTGACCCTGCTTCAGAGTTATAGAAGATAATTACTTGACCCAGGATGATTCAATCTCAGTGATGAGGGGACTTCCGTCATTTCTGAATTTGTTCCCTCTACATACCTGTGATGTGTTGAAAATGCAGAATAAAAAGCTGAAGAGGATTTTTACGTTGTCATCATCTATTAGCATCAGGTAACCCAGAATCCAAGTAAGCCCGAAAACCACAGCAATGGATAACATGCTAAGAATCTTCTTCGTTACTGAGCTCTTTTTTGTGCTGGATGAGAATGAGAAAAAGAAAAGAAAAAGAAAGAATGGGCCACATTTGCACCAGCAACATTATCACCACTACCACCATCACTTGGCATCAATAGGGATAGGAATAGGACTTGTGATTTATTGGTATAGTGAACTCCTGGATGCCCATTTTTATTTATACTGCATAAGGTAGAGGGTCCACAGGTTTGGAACATTGCATATCATTACAGATTTTTTAAAATTTGTTCATCTATTTTGGTGATTTTTTTTCTTCCTCTGCATTATAAGAGATTGTTCTCTGGGAGGTTGAAAGAAAGGGATTAAAGGGGGGAAAGCTAGGCAATGTAAAAATAAAAGGTACCAATTAAATATTTTGTGTTTCTATTGAACATCAAAATTATTAATCTTTATGAAAATCATAGGTGAGGGTGAGTGTATAATAATTCTGCAAACTAAGTCACTATGAAGGAGATTGGAGCTATGTAGAAATTTATAAAATGATGGTATCTCAATTGTGAGTCTGAGCTTAACCTTTCACTTGTGATAACCCAGTGATGGTTATAGTGTATACTGGGGATTACTTTTTTTAATATTATAATGAAATTTTATTGTGGTGAATGTAATAAGAGTATTGGTCAGGAAGAGACTCTTCTTCTGATTTTTGGATAGTAGTCCTACTCTAAATCTGGCCACTGGAACCAGAGGCTCCAGAGGAAATAGGGAGGCTGGTGACTTTGCACAGCCCTGCCTCATTTAAATCCAATTCACTGAAAGTCATGACATCACCTCCCTAATGTCATGGTCCTTTTCAAGAACAATGGACAAACAACGTGGACCTGAGCAAGTGACTTACCTTTTGAACTAGTTTCTCCTTCTATAAAATAAGGATAATAATAGCATTTACCTCCCAAGGTTGTTGTAAGGATAAAATGAGATGATATATGAAAAGCATCTTACAAAGCTTAAAGTGCTATGTAAATATTAACTCACTATTATTACTACTTTTGGGATGTGTGTGTGTGTGTGTGTGTGTGTGTGTGTGTGTGTGTGTGTGTGTGTGGTCTGGGTTTGGGAACATCTTCCTTTCCTCCTAGCCTCGCACCTTTATGTTAACCAATAAAAAGAGGAGAGGTATCTGCTGGTAATAAAACAGGATGAAGTTTTTTCTAATATAACCCTGTTTCTTTGCCTCATTAACCTTTGTATGGGACTCCTTGTCTGACTTTTCATCAGTGGGTGAGCCCCATGCTTTCTCACTCCTCATTGGCATGTTATCTGACAAATTTCACTATCTCTTAATGACTTTGCATTTTAAGTTGCTTCTTGTCATGTTTGGCTGAAGGATGAATTCTAGCATTTTAGAGCTGGTAACCACTTTGAGATCATCTATTCTAAGCCCCTCATTTTGCAAATTAAGAAAACTGAGGCCCAGAGAGGTTAACTGACTTGCCAGAGGTCACACAGTTGGCTGGCAAGCAGCAGGGCTGGGAATATAGGAAGCCAGAGCTCCTTTTTGCAATTTCCATTACACTACTCTGCTTTATTGAGTCTCTCTCTCTCTCTCTCTCTCTCTCTCTCTCTCTCTCTCACACACACACACACACACACACACAGAATCCCAGTGCCCATATGATTCTCCTGGTATTTATTTTTTATTTATATTTTTATTTATACTGCATAAGGTAGAGGGTCCACAGGTTTGGAACATTGCATATCATTACAGATTTTTTAAAATTTGTTCATCTATTTTGGTGATTTTTTTTCTTCCTCTGCATTATAAGAGATTGTTCTCTGGGAGGTTGAAAGAAAGGGATTAAAGGGGGGAAAGCTAGGCAATGTAAAAATAAAAGGTACCAATTAAATATTTTGTGTTTCTATTGAACATCAAAATTATTAATCTTTATGAAAATCATATGAAAATCCACTTTTGAAGTGGACGAGCAGAAATGGAAGTTACATCAACAGTAAATAAGAAAGGTAGGGGCACAGTCTCCAGAAGTTCCCATTTGCATCACATGGGAGTGGCAAGGTGTAGAAAAAGAGCACTGGATTTGGAAAGACCTGGTTTACTATTTCAAATGTTAATGTAATTTAAAGCCATCAAGCACTAAAGAAATATAAGTCATTACTAGTGACTTCCACTCAATACCATTTCTCTCCTGATCTCATGAGTGACCAATGACATGAGTTTGAAGGAAGACTGAGATAAAGGGTCATGGAACATATCAAAGCTAACTGGACGATATGTGCTCCAGGCTAGGTCTGACTCAGGCCAGTCCTCCTGGGAGTTTGGGTTCAGCACTGGAACAAAATGAGACCAAAAATGAGTGTTAAGAGATTGACTGGTTCTTTGAACCAGGCTTTTAAATTTTCATCTTTCAAAGGCTGCTCCTTACAACGTACAAGTAATTACCAACATCTTTTTACAAATTTCTCACTTTTTTCAGAGGTTCAGATCCAATATCTTTCTTATGCAGAGTATGCCTATGCTCACTTAGGCCTTTGTTATCTTTGGCTATTATAATAAGCTAAAAACCAATCCGTCTCCAGTATGCCCTTCTCCTATATATTTTTCACCCTACTGCACCAAAGTAATCTTCCTATATATACGTCTGACTCTGTCACTGTCCTGTTCAAGGATCTTTAGTGACTCCCCATTGCCCAACAAATACAGCACAGACCTTGACACACTCTAGCCCCAGCTTAACTTGCTAGCTTTTTTTAAATACTACTGTTGGCATATTCCACGTTTCAGCAAAACTGGACTAAGGATTGTTTTGTGGTTTTGTTTTGTATTTCTCATCTTCATATTTTCAGGGCCTACTACAGTGCCTGACACATAGCAGATGCTAAATAAATGCTCATTGGTTGATTGATTGTGATCTCATCAATTCCTTTTCCTACTTCTATGCTTATATGGAGGCTATCCCCAGTGGCTGGACCATATTCCCTGACACTCTTCCAATTTTTCCTTTTGAGATCCTTTCTTTTACTCTCAGCTCAGCAAGATCTTCAAGATTCCTTCCCTAATTTCCTTCACTAGGAGCCTACCCTTCCTTCATAAATACAGACCACCTCGTCTGATCTCTTTAATACATTTACTCAATAATTTTCTGACTTGTATTATAGTTATTTGTACACAGATTTTTTTTTAACTTTTTTCGTCCACCTAGAAGACTATAAGTTATTAGAAGGCAGGAACGGTACTGCGGTTCATCTTTGAGTCCTCATCAGCTGGACAGTGTCTGGCATATCAGGTCTTAATACATGTTTATTAAATTGAATTAAATAATAATTCTTTTTGATTTAATAACTAACTCAAAATTAATCAATTATGATTAATTAAATCATAATTCTTTGGTATTGTGTTCATTATGAAATATAAATAATATTTGTTATGATGGTTTGTAATAATAATATAGAATACATAAAATATAGATAGATCATTATGTCCATGATGAGAGGCAGCGTAATGTAGTTTATAGGGGCTTGGCCTTGGAATCAAGGAAGGTTTGGTTTCACTTCCTGCTTCCGACATATGCCAGCTGTGTGATCAAAGGCACTTACCCTCTCACTGACCACAGATAACCTTCTAATAGTATAACTTCTTTCTTTCTTTCTCCTTCTTTCTCTCATTCTTTCTTTCTTCCTTCCTTTTCTTTCTTTCTCTTTCTCTCTCTCTCTCTCTCTCTCTCTCTCTCTCTCTCTCTCTCTCTCTCTCTCTCTCTCTCTCTCTCTCCATCCCTCCCTCCCTCCCTCCCTCCCTCCCTCTCTCTCTCTCTCTTTCTCTTTTTAGTGTGTAGAAGCAATCAGGGTTAGTTGGCTTGCCAGGGTCACACAGCTAGTAAGTATCTGAGGTCAGATTTGAACTTAGGTCCACCTGACTCCAGAGCAGTGCTGTATCTACTGTGCCACCTAGCTGCTCCCTAATATTATAACTTTCAAATGAGCTGTTGAGCTGAATTGGCAGATGGAGTTTCCACACTGAAGAAACTTCTGTTGGTTATCTCCAATTTATCCTGTTTATAGCTTATTTGTACATAGTTGCCACATGTAGTCTCTTTCATGAGGTCCTTCAGAGCAGGGACTACTTTTACCTCTCTTCTTATCCCTGGCACTTAAGAGTATTTGCACATAGGAGGTGTTTAATAAATGCTCGTTGACTTGATTTGACTTGACTCATAGTGTGGTTTGTCAGGTATTGACTGAAATTAGATGAGTGACATGAAAAATGGCTCCCAGAAATATACATTGCATGTAAGCTTCTTGAGGGTAGGGACATTTTCCCAGCACCTCTTCCCAGGTCCTAGCATAGTGCCTGCCACATTTTTTGTTGTTATTTGGTTGTTCAGTCACGTCTGATCTTTTGGACATTGGGGACCCTACTGTCCATGGGATTTTCTTTGGTAAGGATACTTGGGGTGAGTTGCTATTTCCCTTTCCAGTGGATTAAGGCAAAAAGAAATTAAGTGACTTCCCCAGGGTCACACAGCTAGTAAGTATCTGAAGCTTGAACTCATTTTGATTTGGACTAAAGTCATTCCAGACTCCAGGACCAGCACTCTATCCACTGAGCCACCTAGCTCCCTCCAAGGCAAACAGATATTAAGTGATGTGTCTAGGTCACACAGCTAGTATTTGAACTCAGGTCTTCCTAACTCTAGGCCCAATGCTTTATCCACTGAGCCACCTAGCCACCCCATCCTGGCACATAATAAGCATTTAAGAAATATTTATTAACTAATTGAATCTCATATTGATGAAATATAAAGACATATATATGTATAATATACATTGTGCATAACATACATAAATCATTTTTAAAGGACTTTTTTTTCTCTTGAATTCTGTTTTGTTTTTTCAATTTGGCTCACATAACCCAAAAGAGAAACTTCTTATCATCAAACTATTGTTAGGGGATAAAAATAGCTGAGTGTTATAGTGAAAGAGACATACTACACAGCTAACTAACAACACAAAATCTGACCCAGCATCTATCCCAGGAATATTTCAGAACTTTAAGGAATCCATAATTTCATCAAGGCAGTGGTTTCCTCCCTTCTGCAATTTGGTGGACAAATCTTCTAACCTGGAAGCTTGTGACCAAATTGATGATGCTTCCCAAACTTCAGCAAGGCCAGTACTTTGATTGAAAGACACATAGGGCCCATTCTTCTACTTGGTAGACCTTACACAACTGGTATTTCCCTGGCATGGACTTAAGAATGCAGAACCCACCTCTTACCACAATGAGGCCATAGAGGGTAACTTCAATGAGTTTTATGACACACTGAATGAAATCATGCCTAAAGGCTTCTCCTCATTACCTCTTACCTCTGCAAGTTCTCATTTCTTCCCCACAGAACTTTGACTGTGATTAAAATGAGTACAACAGCATTAGCGATGAGAATGATAACTGCAGGTAAAATGAATGACCACAACAATGGGCTCTCCAGATAATTGCCATCTTCTGGAACTGCAAGCCAACATCTATTAAAGACAAGAAATTACTTTACTCAAGAGGACACATTCATTGCTGCCCTTTGCCATTAAAGAGTTTAATGAACTCAGATTTAAAGAGCTTTTTAAAAGCCGATGCTTCTTTCTCATCCCTTATAAATCAACAAGTAATTATTGAGTACCTACTATTTGCCAGGCACTGTTCTAGGTGCTGGAAATTCTTACATTGTTAGTTGGCTTTCTATAGTTAGTACTCCCGAAAAGATAAAAATAGTCAATCTCCTTTTCTGCCTTATTTCTCCAAATACAAGTAAAATTCTATTATAATAGACTCTGTTAGATCTCTATCCAAATTGTTTTGTCCCAAAATTGTACAATCAAATTGTGCAAATAATATCTCTAGAAACCACATTCCAGGTATGTTTGGCCTGTCAATGAAACAGAGCTGATGTCTAATCTCATTCTAATTATTAGTAAATTAAAAGAATTGCATCACAAAAAGGCCAGTGATGTGCCCCCTTCTCTCTAAAAAGAATTGTTTTGAGTCCAATAGTTAAAGATACGACTAAATTGTGAAATAAGCAAGTTTGTCTTAGGTATTCCTAGCCTCTACTCTTTCTTAGCTCCTCTTTCTCTATCAGATCTATTCTCAGTACAAAGTATAACAATCTCATAGAAATTTTATACTGACAGGAAACTTTGAATTAATTAATTTTTAAAAATTATGACGCACTTACGAAGTCCCAGCCCCTGTGCTGAGAGCTAGTGATACAGATATAAAAGTCCTCAAGGACTTGAGTACTGATGGGGGTAGGGGAGGGTAGAGACAACATATACGGGGGAGTGGTGCCCAGGAAAGTCCCAAATGGTGAGTGAAATAGGAGAGTCTATTGACAAATCATTTCCCAAAGCAATAGTATCATTTGAACTCTAGAGCAAGAGGTAGGAAGGAATGGGGAGGGGCTGCATACATTTTTAAAAAGTGAATTCAATAGTTATCAACAATCACAAATGCTTCAAGAAACCATCTATTTTTTTTCTTTTTTTTTCCAATTTGCATGGAGAAAGATGGAATCTCAATTCTACTTTAATTTTGATTTCCCTTATTACTGGTGATGTGGAACGTATTTTCATCTAATCTTTCATAGCTTGCCAATCTTCTGAAAACTATTCATACCTCTATCTATTTATTGGAGAATGGCTCTTGGTTTATGTTTATATTGATTTGATGTATATTTTATGTATTAGACTTTTATCAGTGATACTTGATACCTTTTCCCGTTCTACTTTCTCATATAACTTTATCTTAATTGATTTTGTTTATGCTAAATTAATTAATTAATTATGTTTATGCTATTTGTTTATATTATCAAAACTTTATATTTCATTTTTATTATATTGTTATGAATCTCATTCACTTTATGTATCTCATCATTCAAGTAATACTACTCTTTCCAATGTTATCAGTGATTTTTTAGTTGTCAAATCTAATGATCTTTTCTCAGTCCACATTCTTCTCCATCTCTCTACTGAATTTGATACTACTGTCCACTCCCCACTCTCTTTATATTCTCTCTGGGTTTTAATAACACCAGTCTCTCCTATTTCTCCCCCTGTCTGTCTAACAACTGTCTAACAGTCTCTTTTACTGGCTCATTATCTAGAACATACCCTCTACCTCCAGGTATTCTTTGAGGTTCTATCCTGGGCCTTCTTGTTTTCTTCTGTTAACCTTTCTAGCTTCCTTTGGCATTATCTCTCCTGCACTCGAGATCCAGCCAAACTGGCCTTCTCTCTCTTTCCTCATATGCAATACTCAATCTCTCATCTCCACGCACTTGCATTGCACCATCCCACATGCCTAGAATGCAATTCCTTCCGAGCTCTACCTAATAGAATGTATCACTTCCTAGAAGATGCAGCTCAAGCATCATCTTCTGCATAAAGCCCCCAAATTATCTCATATTTAACTATTTTGTCTGTATTTGCATAATTTTACTTTATATTTATGGTGTATGTATTTACATATGTGCTTGTCTACCCCCATTAGAATATAAACTCTTTGCAGGTAGGGATTGTTTCAATCTTTATATTTTTATCTCCAGTGCCAAGCACAGTGCCTGACAATTTGTAGGGGCTTAAAATGTTTGTTGACTGATAGATTAATCTCCTCTATCCCTTCTTTGATTAAAAATTCTTACTCAACCCATCACTGGAAAAGGTCTCTGATTTCATTCATTTCTATTTTTTTTTGTATGATCTTTTATATTCAGGTCACATGCCCATTTTGAGGTCACAAATGTTCCAAGGTGTTGATCTTAACTGAACATCTGGCAAATTGCTCTTCAAGTTTTCAAATAGTTTTTATCAAAAACGGAGTAAGTCTTCCCAGTGAATCATGTTCTTGGGTTTATCAAACATATGGCTATATTTTAATTACTTCTATTTCTTGCATATCTAGAATTTTTCTTTTTTTTGTTTTTACTAATAATTTTTGATGACTACCACTTTACAGTACTGTTTGAGGTCTGATAATACTATGTTCTCCTCATTTATACCTTTTTCATTGTTTTCCTTGATATTATAAACTTTTTTTTCTTCCAAATGAATCTTGTTATAATTTTTTCTAGTTTTATAAGGTATCTAATTGGAAAAATTAATTAGTATAGCACTAAATCTGTAATTAACTTATATAGTATTGTCATTTTGCAATATTGATATATCCCAGGCATAAGGAATGATGATCTCTCCATTTAAAGGTTTGACACATTTCTCTTTTAAATTCGTCTGGCCTATTTTTCCCATCTACTTGGCATTTCATTTGTGGCTTGCTAATATTTGTTTCTCTGACTGAGTTTTTAAAAAATTTTCTTCTTTTATTACTTTGTGTATTTTATATTTTTATAGATGCTCATCAATTTCTTTTGAATTCTTAATTTTCTGGCATATTATAGCTTATGTCTTTTTTATTTCCTCTTTTTGTGAATTCACCTTGCTCATTTTTTATTTTGGCAACATGATTTTCTTATTTTTTCCCTGATCAGGTTAACAAATGGTTTATTGACTTTGTTAATCTTTTTCTTTCTAACTTTATTCATTGTTTATTGTTTTCTATTTTTTATTTCTGTATTTCTTCTCTAACTTCCAATAACTCTTCTTTTGTACTTTTTTTAAGCAATACTAATTTGTTTATTTTCTAGTCCTTTTAACTTCATGCTACTTTATTGAATTCATACTTTTCTCATTTCATTCCTACTTTAATTTAAAAGTCCAAATTTATAAAATCAGGGGATGATGATTCACATTACAAAAAAAATTACTGTAGAATTCATTTATTAAAAGCATTGCCCACAGGGCAGCTAGATGGCACAGTGGATAGAGCACTGGCTTTGGAGTCAGGAGGACCTGAGTTCAAATGTGAACTCAGACATTTGATACTTATTACCTGTGTGACCCTGGGCAAGCCACTTAGCCCCAATTGCCTCACCAAAAAGGAAAAAAAAGTATGCCCTGTGCATTTAAAATAAGTGATTTTCAAAAATTTTATTTATACGATCTTTTTACAAACAAATTAAATAATATATCCGTTCCATTCTTTCAATTTCAATACCAAAGAACAGGTAAACATAAGTGGTCAACTTACATTATTTCTTGTCGGTATCCTAATGCCCCTTTTATTGGAATAATAATTCCCACTGTTAAAAGCACTATTAAACCAGGTATTCCTGTTTGATAGAGATACTAAGAATTAGTTAATTACATATAAGCAGGAATTAATCATATGCACAAAGGAAATCCTGCTTAAACTACATCAGAACCTTTTATAGGTGGCCAGAATACCCACAGTATTTACTCTATGCTCTACTGGAAACATAATTTATTGCTCTTCCCACTCTGTTCTAGCATTGAACATCCAGAGTCATAATTAGTAGTAACCTAGAAAAATACCACAAAATATGTCTTCAAAATAAACCTTTTTCCCCCAAAGAAAAATTCATGTACGGGAGGAGGGAGACCTTTGGACATTAAAGCCATGAGGCTACTTCTGGAAAAGCTGTGTTGAGAAATGGAAGGGTCAGGCCAGGGGGTTACTCACTTGTTCTATAGCCACAGTGAGGAGGAAGCCTGCTATTTGGTGGCTTTGTTATTTAACTTATAATTGTTGCTGAATAGGCACCAAGTTCAATTTCTAGTCTGCCTTTTAAAGGAGTGAAAGTATGGTTAAACTCCTCTAAATGCTTGTGTCCTTGGGCAAAATCCTTATCATCCCATTCTAGTTAAAGTTCTTGGAGTACTACATGATTGCCCATTCCTCCCCCCTCCACTCCTCCCCCCTTCCCCTGTCCCCATTTCCCAAATATTTGTTTCAGATATGTCTATCCTTATTGACTTTTTTGTAACCCGTTATATCTTCACATTCATAAATACTCAATAGGTCCCAATGCACCTTGTTGTTTTGTTGTTCAGTTGTTTTCAGACATATGTGACTCTTTGTGACACCTTTTGAGATTTTCTTGGCAAAGGTACTGGAATGGTTTGCCATTTCCTTTTTCAGCTCATTTTATATATGAGGAAACCAAGGCAAACAGGGTTAAGTGACTTGCCCAGGGTCATACAGCTAGCGTCTGAGGCCAAATTTGAACTTAGGAAGATGAATCGTCCTAGCACTCTATCCATGATACCCTTCAATGTACCTTATGTTCAATTTAAATTCAGATGTCAATACAATAATTTTCTATTGTTAGAATATTTCAAATTATTTTTCTTAGTGTCTTAGTCTGTTTTTGGTTTTGTTTTGAAATGTCCCCTTTAAATGTTGTGCAGGGTGGAACTAAAATTTTAAATTCTGGATTTGTTCTGATAAAATAAAAAATTGAAATTAACAGAGATGACTTGATAACATGAAATCCTTTAAGTTAGTGGGTTGTTGTTGTTGTTGTTGTTATGGTAATGTAAAAGAACAACTTCTAACAGGAGGTAGAACAATACTTAACACTTACCCCATCCTATTAGAGACAGAAAGAGAGTGAAACGTGGAGGGAGGGGCCTCATAGCTCTGAGTAGAAGAAAGTAGAGCTGTACAGCATTGAGTCCTGTCCAGGTCAATGTCGCCAACAGAAAATAATGCAGTAGGGCAGTCATCACTGTGCATGCATGATTTTCTGAAGGATTAAAATCATGTTGAGGGATCACATTGTCATCTTCAGAGATCACAGTGCTGTTGCTATTTTTATTAGAGTTTTCTATTCCAAAGAGGAAGAGGATGTTGAAAATCAGCATAGATGTGCAGAGACTCACAAACACCCAGGTAACTGAAGTTTTTCTAAATTTCCTATTGGGAGAAAACCCCAGTAAGATCATGGAGAAATAAAACATGATAAGAAAAAAGATTTTCTTCCTATAATTCTTATCCTTAAAGAAATGATTTTGGGGGAAAAGAAACTACGTTGCATTTTTCTTCACTCTCCAAAAGACATTTATTCATAGATCTACTCTAATTGCATTGTGTTTACAAAGCCTATCTATCTTAGGAAAAGCTCCAAATTGAAGCTGGATTTTTTGGGTTTTTTTTGTGGGGGGGGAGGAGAGAAGACTGAGTCTGCAGCTAGGTGGCCCAGTGGATAGAATACAAAAACTTGCTATATGTCTAACCCATCTTTTTTCCCCTAGTAAACATACCCCTCAAATAGCATTTTTATGACAATTCTCCTACATAATTCTTAGCTGATAATGTTGCACCCTGCTCATACCCACAATGCACCTCTTTGCTGCCCTTTGGAAACAACTGACTCCAAGTTTAATTTTCCAGAATCACTGAAAGAATACTATTGTGGAAAAGATGAGTTAAAACATTTTTGCTCACATACAAATACACACACAAAACCAAATGGAAAAATAGTTAACTGGGGAGAATATTTGCAGCAAGTTTCTCTAATAAAGGTCTCATTTCCAAGACACATAAGGAACTGACTCAAATTTATATTAAAGAACCATTCATCAATTCATGAGTGGTTAAAAGAAATGAACAGGGAGTTCTTAAGAGAAGAAATTCAAGTATCAATAACCATAAGAAAAATAATGCTCCAAATCACTAATGTAAAGTAAATATAAATTAAAGCCACTGTGATGTTCAACCTCATCCCTATCAGATTACTGAGTTGTAGGAAAGGAAAATGACAAACGATGAAGGAGCTTTGGGAAAACAGATGTATTAATGCACTGTTGGTGGAGCTGTGAATTGATTCAGCCCTTCTGGAAGGCAGTTTGGAGCTATACTGCAAATGTTACTAAACTGGGCATAGTCACTCACACATACACACACACACACACACACACGGATACATGCACACACTTATGTAGAAATATAAATGATGCATAACAGCTGTTCTTGTAGTATCAAATATCAGAAAACTAAGAGAACACATGTCCTTTGGGAATGGCTGAACAAAGCATGGTATATGACTATAACGAAACACTGTTGTACCAAAACAAATGATGAAAAGGATGGTTCTAGAGAAACCTGGGTAGACTTATATGAATTCATACAGAGTAAAATATGCAGAATCAGAACAATTTATACTATATTAACAATATTGTTGAAATGAAAAACTGTGGAATATTTAAGAACTTTGATCAATCGACTACCTATGATTCCAGATTATTGACAATGAAGGATGGTAGTCACCTCTTGACTAAGAAGCTAAGACCTAAATATGCAGGTTGTGACGTGGATTTTTGGACATGGCCAATGCAGTAATTTGTTTTACTTAACTATGCATGCTTATTACAAGAGTTCTGTTTTTCTGGGGGTAAGGTGGGAGAGAGAGAGAAAATAAGTGCTTGTTAAATGAAAAAAAAATTAAAAGAAGAAATTTGTTTTAGAGTGCAGCTTGTGGTCATTAAAAAGACTTCACAACTTCCCTAATACAATCTAGCTGGTTTTCTCTCTCCAGTTTAGTTCTGGGCTGAACTCATTGTCCAAGATGTCTGTTCAAGATGGTTTATCTATCCAACTGTATATCACAGTCAGAGCAATAGACATTCTTCACCCACTTGTTTTTTCCTATGCTGTTAGTCAAACTAAAATCTTTAGAGCAGTAGTTCTCAAACTTCTTCTTTTCAGGACCCCTTTATATTCTTAAAAATTATTGAGGGCCCCCTCTTCCAAAGAACTTTTACTTAATATGAGTTACATTATCAATATTGACTGTATTACAGATGAAAACATTAGTATTATTATAAAAATTATTTTGACCAAAATGGAAAACAAAGAATAATAGAAGTTATAAGTAAAACTAAAAGCTAGTTCTTTGTAAAGACTAATAAAATTGATAAACTTTTAGCTAATCTAATTTTAAAAGGCAGAAAACCAAATTGATTAAATAACAAATGAACAAGTTAAAATCACACAAAATGAAGAAATATACAGAATAATCAGAACACTTATGCTCAGTTATAGACTTTAGAAAAAAAACTAAGGACACAAAAAGATATTCAAAAATACAAAATACCCAAACTGTCAGAAGATTATATAGAAAAACAATGCAATATCAGAAAAGGAAATAGAACTAGCTGTAAAGGAACTCCTAAAGAAAAAGCTACTGGTCTTAATAGATTCGTGTGAGAATTCTATCAATTTTTTAAAGAACATTTAATACTCACACTTACAAATTATTCTAAAAAACTTAAAAGAAGGCGGAACCAAGATGGCGGAGTGAAAGCAGTGACTTGCTTAAGCTGTCCCCCAAACCCCTCCAAATACTCATAAAAATGGCTCTAAACAAATTCTGAAGCAGCAGAACCCACAAAAAGACAGAGTGAAACAAATTTCCAGCCCAAGACAACCTGGATGATTGATCAGAAAGGTGTATCGCACAGGCTGGGAGCACAGCACAGCGCAGCGTGGGCACACAGGCCACAGCAAACCTGGAGCAGACCTCTGAGGACTGAATCGCGGGCAGCTGTGGAGGTTTCCAGACTCCTCAATCCACCAATGCCAAAGACAACTTAGAAGGTCAGTGGGAAAAGTCTGTTTCTGTTGGTGGTCAGAGAGGAAGGCGGAGTCTCAGCTCCATTCCCCAACAGCGGGGGCCCTGGGAGGGGCAGCTGCTTCCCAAGCTTCCGGCCCACAGACTGAGGGGGAATCCAGTGGCTGATTAGAGAGGGATTGCAGGGATCTCTTTGCCAGTACTGAGGCAGGAATCTCTTGCTTTGCCTGTGTGTGGATCTGGGTCACAGTTCTGGGCGGCAGTGCTGGGGTGAGGAGGAGCGCTGGTGTGGTGGAGCTTGTAGTGGCTGTAAAGAGGAACTCCTCCTCACAGCTACAGGACAGAAAGGAATACTTGTGGTCACAGGCCAGGAAAGGAATAAACACCTCCCCTTATCATACCACCTTGGAAGAACTGAAAATTTACAGGTCCCTACAAGTATCTCTGAAAACAGCTATACAAACCCCTGAAGCTTGGGACAGTACACTCTCCACATTGGAAGCAGACTCTTACCTTAACAAAGAGTTTAAAACTCAAGTAATTGGCTGGATCATGAGCAAGCAGCGCAAAAAGAGTCAGACTATATTATCTTACTTTGGTGAAAAAGAAGATCAAAATATACAACCAGAAGAAGACAACAAAGTCAAAGCTCCTACATCCAAAGCCTCCAAGAAAAATATGAATCAGTCCCAGGCCTTGGAAGAGCTCAAAAGGGATTTTGAGAAGCAAGTAAGGAAGTAGAGGAAAAACTGGGAAGAGAAATGAGAGTGATAAGAAAATCATGAAAAACAAGTCAACAGCTTGCTAAAGGAGACCCAAAAAAATACTGAAGAAAATAACACCTTAAAAAATAGCCTAACCCAAATGGCAAAAGAGGTCCAAAAAGCCAATGAGGAGAAAAATGCCCTAAAAAGAAAAATTGGCCAAATGGAAAAGGAAGTCCAAAAGCTTACTGAAGAAAATACTTCCTTAAAAATTAGAATAGAGCAATTGGAAGCTAGTGACTTTATGAGAAATCAAGACACTGTAAAACAAATCCAAAAGAATAAAAATTAGAAAACAATGTGAAATATCTCATTGGAAAAACAACTGACCTGGAAAATAGATCCAGGAGAGAGAATTTAAAAATTATTGGACTATCTGAAAGCCATGATCAAAAAAAGAGCCTAGACATCATCTTTCAAGAAATTATCAAGGAAAACTGCCCTGATATTTAGAACCAGAGGGCAAAACAGAAATTGAAAGAATCCACAGATCTCCTCCTGAAAGAGATCCCCAAAGGAAAACTCCTAGGAATATTGTAGCCAAATTCCAGAGTTCCCAGGTCAAGGAGAAAATATTACAAGCTGCCAGAAGGAAACAATTCAAGTACTATGGAAACACAATCAGGATAACACAAGATTTAGCAGCTTCTACATTAAAGGACCTCAGGGCATGGAATATAATGTTCTGGAGACCAAATGAGATAGGATTACAACCAAGAATCACCTACCCAGCAAAACTGAGTATAATCCTTCAGGGGAAAAATGGTCATTCAGTGAAATAGAGGACTTTCAAGCATTCCTGATGAAAAGACCAGAGCTAAATAGAAAATTTGACTTTCAAATACAGGACTCCAGTGGAACATGAAGAGGTAAACAGGAAAGAGAAATCATAAGAGACTTATTAAGATTGAACTGTTTACATTCCTGCATGGAAAGATGATATTTATAACTCATGAGAACTTTGTCAGTATTAGGGTAGTTGAAGGAAAAAAATTATATGTATGTATATATAGCTAGATAGAGGGCACAGGATGAGTTGAAGATTAAGGGGTCATATCTGGAGAATAAAATTAAGGGATGAGAGAGGATGATACTAGAAGAAGAAAGGGAGAGGTAGAATGGGGTAAATTATCTCACAAAAAAAAACAGAAAAGTCTCTCACAGTGGAGGGGAAACAGGGGAAGGTGAGAGGGAATGAGGAATCTTATTCTCATAGGATTTGGCTTAAGGAGAATAACATACACATTCAATTGGGTATGGAAATCTGTCTTACCCTACTGGAAAATAGGGGGAGAAGGGGACAAGAGAATAGGGGGATGATAGAGAGGAGGGCAGATTGGGAAAGAGGGTAATCAGAAGCAAATACTTCTGAGGAGGGACAGGGTCAAAAGAAAGAATAGAATAAATGGGAGGGCAGGATAGGATTAAGGGAAATAGAGTTAGTTTTTCACAACACATCTACTACGGAAGTGTTTTGCATAACTGCACATGTACAACCTATACTGAGTTGCTTACCTTTTCAATGAGGGTGGGTGGGGAGGGAGGAAGGGAGAAAATTTGGAACTCAAAGTTTTAAAAACACATGTTTTAAAAAAAATCTTTTCACATGCAACTGGGAAATAAGAAATACAGGAAATGGGGTACAGAAGTCTATCCTGCTCTACAGGAAAATAGAAGGGGAAGGGGATAAGAGAAAGGAGGGGGGAGAGAGAGAAGAGAAGGCAGACTAGGGGAAGGGGTATTCAGAATGCATGCCATCTTGGGGTGGGAGGAGGAGTGAGAAATTTGGAACTCAAAAACTTGTGGAAGTGAATGTTGAAAACTAAAAATAAATAAATTTATATTTAAAAAAAACAAACTTAAAAGAAACCAACCTACCAGAATCCTTTTATGCCACAAGTATAGTACTAATACCTAAACCAGGGAAGGATGAAACACAGAAGGAAAACTGTAGGCCAAAATCATTCATGGCTAGTGATTTTAAAATTTTCAACAAAACCTGTCAAACATATTACAGTGATTTATCTGAGAAATCATTCATTGTGATGAAGTTGGATTTATGTCAGGAATACAAGGATAGTTCAACATTAAGAAAACAATCAATATAATTAATCATATTGAAAACTGAAACATCAAAACTGAGAAGATTGAATTAATAGATGCAGAAAAAGCCTTCAACAATACCATACTCATGTTAAAAACCCTACAAAGTATAGGCACAGGGAGACCTTTATTTAATAACATAAAAAAGCATCTGTCTAAAACCAAAAGCAAGCATTATATGTAGTAGAATACACTAAAACCTTTCCCAATAAAAACAGGAATAAAGCAAAGATACTCACTCTCAGCATTATTATTTTATGTAGTTCTGGAAATGCTAGCAACAGCAATAGGACAAGGAAAAGAAATTAAGAGCATAAAAGTAGTTAAAGAACAGATTAAAGCTATCCTCATTTGCTGATGCTGTACTGGCATACTTGGAAAATTCTAGGGAATCAGGAAGAATAACTAATTAAGTCAATTAATAGCTTCAGCAAAGTTGCAGGCAACAAAATAAGCCCTCAAAAATCTACTACATTTCTATATAATAATAACAAAAAACTTATTATGACTAATATGAAAATGTTTTATATTATTACACATGTATAATCTATATCGGACTTCTTACCATCTCAGAGAAGGGAGAGAGGAGGAAGGGAAGGATAGAATTTGGAACTCAAAACTTTAAAACAAATGTTAAAAATTGTTTTTGTATGTAATTGGGGAAAAATAAAATATTTTTCATAAAATAAGAAAACACAAGAAGCAACATTAGAGAGGGAAACTCCGTTCCAAAAACCTACAAAATGCACAAAATGTCTACTAAAGCACATAAATGACATATCCATTTAGTGCTCTTTAAAGAAATAAAGAACAACTTAAACAGCTGGAGGATAATTCAGGGCTCATTACTAGGCCTAGGCCATGCCAATATAATAAAAATGACAATACTACCAAACTTAATTTATAGTTTTAATGCTGTACCAATCAAATGACCAAAGGAATATTTATAGAACTTGACAAAATAATAACACAATTCATTTGGGAAAAAAGAAAATATCTAGAATATGAAAGGAAATGATGAAAAGACATGCAGACAAAGGGAAAATAGCACTTCTAGGCCTCAAACTATATTATAAAGCAGCAGTCATCGAAACCACCTAATATCGTTTAAAAATAGAAAGATCATTCAATGAAACAGATTAGATAACGGGTAGAATCAGAAACAATGGAACTCCATAACCCTGTGTTTGACAAAGTGGAAAACATAAATTACTTAGGAAAAACCTCTTTCTTTGATAAAAATTGCTGAGAAAACTGGAAAGTTTTCATGTTTAGCTACTTTTCAGCTGTGTCTGACTCCTCATGACCCCATTTGGGGTTTTCTTGGCAAAGATACTGGAATGGTTTGCCATTTCCTTCTCTAGCCTATAGATGAGGAAACTAAGGTAAATTGGGTTAAGTGACTTGCCCAGGGTCACACAGCTAGTAGGTATCTGAGGTCAGACTGAACTCAGACTGCCTCTAGATCCCACACTCTATCTACTGCACATCTACCTGGAAAGTTGTCTGGTAAAAATTGGGCTTAAATTAACACCTTATGCAAAACATATCACATGATACATTTTAAATGGATACATGACCTTAATATTAAATATCATATTATAGAAAAATTAGAAAAGAACTAGATCATATACCTCTCATACCTATGTCTGGGAGATATATTCTTAGCAAAATAAGGGATCGAGATAATTACAAAAGGTAAAATAGATAACTTTGACTACATGTAACTGAAGAGCTCCCACATAGACAAAATTGATGCACATAGGATAAGAGAGGAAATGGTTGAATGAAGGAATGGTTGAAAAAAGTTTGCATCAAATTTCTCTGATAAGGGTTTGGTATCCAAGATATATAAACATATACACACACACACACACACACACACACACACACACACACATATACATATATATGTAAATATGTAGATATGTAGATATATACATATATACAAATTAATATAAATAAAATATCGATGTAGATAAAACCAATAGCCATTTCCCAACAGGTAAATGGTCAAAAGATAAAAATAAACAGCTCTCAAAATAAGAATTGCAAAATAATTACAACCCCATGAAAGAATTCTCCAAATCATTAATGATAGGAGGAATGCAAGTCAAAAAACTACTAAAGTTTCACCTTTACATCCTGCAAATTGTCAAGGAAGGATGGCAAAAAATGGCAATAATCAAATTTGGGAGTGGTCATGGGACGATAGGCATATTAACACATTGTTGGTGGAGCTGTGAAATGATATCACCATTTTGGAATTATGCAAATAAAGTGACTAAGATGTCCATACCTTTTGAACTAGAGACTCTGTAACTGGGCTTATGACCCAAGGAACCTATGGATAAGAAGAAAGTCCTCATGTATACCAAAATATTTATAGCAGCACTTTTTGTGATAACAAAGAATTAGAAACAATGCCCATCAATTGGAGAATAGGTGAGTAAATTGCAGCATACGAATATAATGGAATATTACTGTGCTGTGAGAAATGCTGAATGAGATGAATACAGAAAAATATGATAAGACATACATGAACTGATGAAGAGTGAAGTAAGCAGAACCAAGAAAATAATAGAAACAATGTTGTTCAACCATTTCGAGAATGTCTAACTCTTTGTGACCCTATTTGTGACTTTTTTGGGGGGGGAGCAAAGATGCTAGAGTGGTTTGCCATTTCCTTCTCCAGTTCATTTTACAGATGAGGAAACTAAGGCAAATAGGGTTAAGTGATTTGCCCAGGGTCATACAGCTCATAAGTGTCTGAGGCCTGATTTGAATTCAGGAAGATGAGTCTTCCTGACTCCAGGTCCAACACTCTATCCTCTGCACCACCTAGCTGCTCAGTTTTCTCTTTAGCCTCTACTTGAAGCCTTTCCAGCTCAGAAAGACCTACCTAATCTGAGACCTGGTGGACATAGCTTTCAAGAACTTAATATATAATTTACAAAATATATTGAGGGAATGTCTCCTCTGCCCATAAAGAATAGAATACGTTCAGAATAAATCAAGTGAACATAGTAGATTTTCTTATGAGAAACCCCTCTTCCCTCTTACCTGGTAACAATCTGAAACATAATTGTAAGAGCCAAAGCAGCAACAGATAATCCACAACCAATTTTAGATATGCTATCTAGAGATTCAGGATAACTGTAATTGTTATCAAAACTCTGGAAAACAATTGGAAAATCACATTTTAAAACTTTTCCGCAATGTTTATACAAAATCAATTAATTTCAACGGCATTTAACCAACATTCATGAGAATAAGTGCTCAGTATTTCCATTTTCTTCTCTCTTTTTATTGTCCCAACACCATTATTCAAGTTCTTACCTGCAAAAGACAGACTTTTAGTACAAGCCACAGTTGTCCAGTTATTCTGATCCAAGTAGATAGCCAAAGTGACTAAACAGGACCTTTCTCTGTCCAAATAACTTTAGCCTGAGTTTGTCCCAGAGAACTATGAGGCAGCCTACCACAGCAGTGAACAGACTACTTGAAATCAGAAAGACTGGGGTCACTCATACTGATACGTGCTCACTGTGTGATTATGGAGAAGTCCCTTACCAAATCTGAGCCTCAGTTTCTTCATCTGTAAATGAAGACAATAATATCTGTAGTATATGACTCACAGATTTTTTGAGAGGCCCAAATAAGATAATGTATGTAAAGCAAATTACAGATCTTAAGAGGGCTATATAAGGTGTCACAAAAGCCTTTCTATAGTTTTTAACTCTTTGAGGATACCGTGTATAAATGAAAATTATTATTTATTACTTAGATCAAATTAACCTGCAAAAATCTCCATTTTATTTTGTGACATATAGACATACAAAAATGAGACATCTCTTCCTTAATGCAATTCACATAATTTGAAGTGGAGAATTGAAAGCAATTTTCTTGATCATTCAATTGGAAAGGAAGAGAACAAGACTGTCTGGAGGACGACTCAAACATTCTGGATGCTTTATCAGAGCATCAAATTCTCTCTTTGCCAAATTTAGGGATGCAATTCAACAAAGACCTCTGAACCTACTTCATTTTTTAACCCTTAAAATAGCCCATCTCATTCAAGTCACTTAGCCTCTCTGGGCCTCAGTTTCCTCGTATGTAAAAAGAAGAGGCTGAACTAGATGGACTGTGAAGTCCCTTCTAGCTCTATATCTATGATGCTAAGACCCTGTGATGTGCTGGATTGGAGAGGATCATCTTTCCAGATTCATAGTTTCAGTGATGGGAAAATTTAGCATTCTGTGAGAAGCAGAAGGTCACCCTACTCAATTCTATACTAAGTCATCTTTCCAGGATTCAATGGAGATTTGTTTCAATGGAGACCTGTGATTTCACAGGTATGGATATCCCCTTCCACCAAAGCAGATGCACCTTGCTTATGACTTAATAGATAAGACCTAAGGTGCTCCCTAAGACGTAAAATAGAGAAGTGGCATGCCCAGGATCACATGGGTAAATGTCAGACCTTATGAACCCAGGGTAGTCTGACTTTAAGCCCATCACTCTATCTACAAAAAATGCCACACACCATTCTTTATTTTACTAATGTTGTTGTTTAGTCATTCAGTCATGGTAGACTCTGACCCCATTTGGGATTTTCTTAGCAAAGATATTGGAGTGGTTTGGCCTTTCCTTCTACAGCTCATTTTATGGATAAGGAGACTGAGGCAAACAGAGTTAAGTGGTTTGCCCATGGTCACACAGCTAATAAATGTCTGAGGCCAGATTTGAACTCAGGAAGATGTGTCCTTCTGACTTTAGGACCAGCATTCCATCCACTGAGCCATATAGCTGCCCCAATTTACTGATATACATGATGTTAATCTCCTGATATGGATTAGTCTATGAAGACAGACTGGATTCCACTATGACAGTGAACCAGATTCAATGAATAAAATTAGGAGACCATGATATGATTTTGAAAAGAGGGGACAGTTCTTACCATTAATACAGCAAAACTAGTGGTATGGTTGCATTGACATCCAAGGAACTGAGAGTCGTTGTGGGGTTTCTTTTTACACCCATAAGTATCCCAGTCATCCTTTGTAGTGTTCCAAAAGACACAGGCATAGGAATGAAGCTGGAATTGAGACTCGTCATACTGCAAATAGAATGGGGAACACAATGGCAAAAATATGACCTTTGGAAATTAGGAAGAGAGAAAATAAACCTGCCGAAATGGAGTGTATTTATAAAGGTATTTTTTAATCCCTTATTTTTAAGCTAATTTTATTATTTCTTATTTAAATGAACATGGAGCATGTACTACCCAGTAACATTTCACTGAAAGGAAAAGGAGAGGAGGCTTAACTCAAATCAATTTTGTTGTTGACTAATTTGACAAGGACTTTGGGAAGTGGGGGCAGGGAAAATCAAAAGGTAGAAATAGTTTAAATGAGTTTGACAGACTTATCTATGGATTTTCAAAGCCACATAAGTGGTACAACGGTGCTAGACTTAGTGTCAGGAAGACTTGAGTTCAAATCCAGCCTTAGACATTTGCTAGCTGGGTGATACTAGGCAAGTCACTTAACTTGCCTCAATTCCCACATCTGTAAAATGGGGATAATAATAGCATCTATCCCACCCTGGGTAAGGTTCAAATAATATTTGTAAAATATTAAATGATATTTTAAAATAATATTTATAACAAATACGTTTGTAACCCCTGTCCCAAAGTCCATTGGTATGAGACTCTCTGCTCATGGATGGAGACAAATGGCTTGCCCTGTGTGAGGGGTGGAGCAGAGTTGATAGAGTGAGAGAAATCCAGGCTTCTTCAGACCTTTTCTGGACTCTTTAAGCTTCAAGGCTACTTTGGGACTCTTTGAGCCCTGAGTAACTTTGGGCACTTCTGGCTTCCAGCTTCAAGAGAAAAAGTAGAAGGGCCAGCCAAGTGGCACAGTAGATACAGCTCTGGCCTTAGAGTCAGGAAGACCTAAGTTCAAATCCAGCCTCAGATACTTGACACTTATTAGCTGTGTGACCCTGGGCAAATCACTTAACCCCAATTGCCTCACTGAGAGAGAAGGTGGAAGAGGCCAACCTCACATCAGACTGGGAAAACATGATGGAGACTGCCAACTCCTGTCTTGTTGGCTTCCTCTCATCAACAGTAACCAATTGTGTATTTTCTATATATTCTTCCTTATTCATTTACCTCTATGTTTGTGAATACATTTTTCGTTCCTGGCCATGTTACTCCTGCCCTCCAGCTTCTGAATGGTGAACATTTAACACATCTATCCTGGACTCAGACCTACTAGACCCTATCCACAGCCATTAAACATTTCCTCTGCCCCACCTTCCCCCCCTTTCCAACTCCAGGTCTGAAAACAGTAACCACATGAATGCTACCAAAACACCTCTTCCTGGTCACTGCTCCCTTCTTTGTCACATCTCTCAGTTAGAATGATAGGCACTGCAGTGGAGAGAATGCGGGGTCTAAAATCAGGAAGACTCATCTTCCTGAGTTCAAATCTAGATTCTGTCATGTACTAGCTGTGTGTCCCTGAACAAGTCGCTTAACCCTGTTTGCCTTAGTTTCCTTATCTGCAAAATGAGCTGGAGAAGGAAAAGGCAAACCATTCTATCATCTTTACCAAGAAAACACTTAATGGGGTAACAAAAGGTTAGACACAGCTGAAATGACTCAACAACAAAAATTAGAATGATAAGGAGAGTCTTGTTAGCTTGTTTTTGTAGTCCCAGGGTTTGACACTGTGCCCAGCACAAAGTAAATCCTTAGTCCACGTTTTTCATTCATTCTTCATATATAGCGGGAATCAAGATATATACTCTTCTTCTGGCTCTGTTTTCTTTACTTTCCATTATTTTATTTAAGTAATTCCAATTTTCTTTACATTTCTTATATTTATAATTTTAAAATCTCATTATAGATTTACCTAACAGTGATGTATCATGGTTTATTCAGCCATTTCCCAACTACTGGAATTTTAGATTGTTTGAGGCCCTGTGCAAGTATAAATAATTTTGCTAAAATAACTTTGACTAGATGATAACATAGATGTAGAGCCTGCAGGGACCCTAGGGCCATTGAGTCCCGTCACCTTATTTTACAAAGGAAGAATGGAAAAATGACTTGCCCTGGATCACACAGTAGCAAGTGTCTGAGGAGGAATTTGAACTCAGGTCTTATTTACTCCAGGTTCTGGCCTTTATCCACTATGGCAAAGAGCCTCTTAGAGAGTTTTGTTTTCTTTTTTGATAACACTCTCAAGTGATATTCCCAACATTAGTATTTTTGGTTCAAAGGGCATTATTTTTTTCAACTCTTGATATATACTGCCAGATTAATCTCTATATAAAGCCTGCAAATTTTCTTCACAACTCCACAAGCATTTACTTTCATTACTTTCAGCATTCTGTCCAACTTAATGGGCATGAAGTCATGCTTCAAATGTGTTTTAGACAGGGCAGCTAGGTGGCACAGTGGATAGAGCACCAGCCCTGGATTCAGGAGGGCCTGAGTTTAAATCTGGCCTCAACACATGACACTTGCTATGTGACCCTGGACAAGTCACTTAACCCCATTGCCTAGCCAAAAAACAAAAACAAATTTGTTTTAGTCTTTATTTGTTGAATTATTAGTGAGATTAAAGATTTTTCAAATGATTATTTAAAATATGTATTACCCTTTTATATGTTGTCTTTTTATATCCTTGGATCATTTATCTAAAGCAAACTGTGTGTTTCCTTTTAATATTTTAATTTGTTTTCAGTTCCTTTAAATATGTTTTTTGCTTCAACACACGTCAGATTTAAACTGTTATATTTACCAAAACTATTTCCCCAACATGTTATTTTCTTTTTGTTTTTATTGCATTATTTCATCATACAGAACCTTTGTTACTTTTATGTAACTGAACCCATATATAGTGTCTGATAACTTAATCTATTTAATAGATGCAATTTATTGTGGAGAACAGACAACTGACTTAAATACAGTATTTCATTTTCTTCTAATTTCTTATAGTTCTTTTCTATGTTTTTCTATGAAACAGCTAGGTTTTGTGGTCTGAGGTAGAAATCTAAATGTATTCTATATCATATCTGTACGGAGTTTCCCATCATTTATTAAACATTGAGTCCCGTCCTTACTTTGTCTTTTCTCACCTCTGTACTGAAAGGCAGCATCATGTAGTACGTGGAGGGTCAGCCATGGAGTCTGGATGAATAGGCTTTAAGTTCCTGTCACTGACGCATACTAATATCATCTCAGGCAACTCTCTGAAGTCCATACGTTGCTGATCTGTACTGTTTTCCTCACTGATAGCTTCCTACACCAATGAAACCACAGGACTGGACCAAAAAAACCCAAAATGTTTCTCTCTGCCTTTGGTTCCATTTCTATTTATCCTAATAATTTATAATGTATTCCATTTTTTATCTTATTCTGTTTCTTTGTCCTTCTCTGTTTCTGACTTTTCAGACTTTGCTACCATACTTCAGCTGCCATCTCATCCTGGAACTTCATTTGGCCATGGTGACCCTCTTTTCCCATTGGTGAGATCCTCCCAGGGCCTCCATTATGTACAGGCTCCTAAAGTAGGTGATACTGCCCCCTGGAGGGCACTGGAACAATGGCAGGTGAGGGCGGATTAGCCTCAGGTGCAATAGGGGGTATTGAATAAAAATAAGGGGGTGATGGAAGCATAAGGAAAGAAGAGAAGAAAATTTTGAAAAACCATTCATACATGTTTCATCTATTGTATAACACAGTTAAAGTTGTACGATTACATTATTTTCCAAATAAACACAAAAATGCAGGTTATAACCAATCAGGTCAAGTCTGCCAACAGGTCTTAACAAGCAAGCGTTGGCAGGCAAGTGTGTCGCACATTGTCAGGAAGTCCAGCATGGGTCTTCAGGAATATGTGCATGTAATGACTTGTTTACAATATGATACCATATGTTTACATGACACAATATTGTGTCATCAAATTTCAATACGGGGGAAAAAAACCTGTAAGTGTACAATAAATTATTAAATTTAAGATGCGTCATTTTTTTTAATTTATATTTTTTTGAAATGATGCAAATTTTTAAAAAAGTTAAAGGGTTAAAGAAAGTAGATTTCCGGGGGGGGCTAAGCAATTTTTTTTTTTGAAAAGGGGGCAGTAGGCCAAATAAGTTTGGGAACCTCTGCATTAGAGGTTGTATTCTATTCTCCACTGGCTGTGTTGCTGGCTTTATAGACTTTAACACATGCCCTTATGTGAATAACATCCCTCTCAGCCCCTCTCTATTTTTAGCTCCTTTTTGTGTGTTGTATTTTCCTATTAGAAATAGCTCCTTGAAGGCAGGCCTGTCCTTCTTTTTGCTTGTAGTTGTATCACTAGCCCTTAGCAAAGTGCCTGGCACACAGCGTTTAATAAATGCTTATTGTCTTGCCTATTTTTTTTCTGAAATATCAGATAGCTGGAATGATAGCTTTTGTTGTTGTTCAGTCATTTCAGTCTCATCTGACTCTTTCTGGCCCTTTTTGGGGTTTTCTTGACAAACAAACCAGAGTATTTTACTGTTTCCTTCTCCTGCTCATTTTGCAGATGAGGAAACTTGAGGCAAAGAGGGTTAAGTCACAGGGTCACAGAGCTAGTTAGTATCTGAGGCCAGATTTGAACTCCGGAAGATGAGTCTTCTTAACTCCAGGCCCAGTGCTCTGTTTTAAGATATGAAAGAAGCCCAAATTTAATCAGTTCCCTCTCCCCCACCCGAGTGTACCATTGATACTCTTGTTGAGTTATTTGTCTAAGAAATTATTTTATCCTGATCTATAAAGAAATTCATTGAGATTTGGGTTGATGTCATACTAAACCTGTACACTAATTTAGATATTATTATCATTTTATTATTTTGATTCAAATCATCCACAAATACTGAATTTCCTTCCATGTAGCCAAGAGAAATATGCTGAAAAGACTTTGATTCATGAGGTGCTCCCTTAACTTTGATCATTATTCCTTTCTCCTCATGACTCTGACTTAAGAAAGGTGAAAGTTGAGTTGATATCCTATTTAGATGTCTGAGGTTGTTTCCTTTTTATTCTTTGAAGAGAAGAACTCCAGATATAAATGGAACAAAACTCCTAAAGATGAACTATTATCTTCTAATTTTTATGTGAATTTCTTCTAACATATACTTCCTGAATTATTGCCAAAAAAAAAGTAGATAATCGATGAAGAAAGAATGCTTCCTTACAATTCCTACCTGCCTCTACCCAAATTCAAAGAGATTCTTGCCCATATTTAAGGGCACCAATTGAAACTTTCTATGGAGCTTACCCAGATAAAGTAGCTCACCAATAACACCCTCCTAGCTCCCAATCCCCTTTCCCCAAAGTATTCATTGGCTTCCTATTCTTCCTGAGTACCATTATAATAACTTTGGCGTTCAAGGCCCTCTACAACTTGACCCCTTTCTACTTTTCAAGTCTTGTCCCATATTTCCCCTCTACAGGTACTATATGTTCCTCTCATATTTACTCCATTTCCCAATTTTCCTATTACCATTGACACCACCATCCTACAGGCTTGAACCTCAATGCCATCCTTGAATTTTCACTCACATTCACCCCCTCATATTTAACCTGTTCTCAAATCTTGTTGTTTTTACCTTCATAGCATTTCCCCTTCTCTTCACTCACAGTCATCCCCCCACACACATAGGACCACACCAACTCTCATCTAAACTATTGCAACAGCCTTCTAACTAGTCTCCTAGACTCATCTGTCTCTACTCCAATTCATTCTCCATTCAGCTATCAACAGGGGTGTGTTGGTAAATGTTTAACAATGAACTCTACAGCAACAATAAAAGTACTCATGACTACTTTTAGGTTTAATCTTCATTATTAATATTTTCTCCATCACTTTTCATCTAGACAATCAAATAATAAACCAAGCCATGATTCAGCAATGTTTGCCAATACCTGAGGTGTAAATGCATACTCTGAATATTTAACAATCAGCTCTGGTTCCTGAACACTGTTAGCTACCAAAATGATTTTCCAAAATCCTCCATCTGTCCCTCTACTCAATAAACTCTAGTTGCTCCATATTACCTTCAGTATCACATACAGTCCTCTGTTTCGCTTTTAAAGGTCTTCAGAAACTCATCCCATTATACCTTTCTAGTCTTCTCATGCTTTAGTCCCCTCTGCATACTCGGGGACTGAGCTACACTGGCTCACACAGGGCACCCCATCTCCTGACTCCAGACCTTTGCATAGACTGTCCCCAGTGCCTTAGACGCTTGGCCACCCACCTCCATCTCATAGCTTTCCTGGGTTCCTTCAGGACTTAGCTTACATTTCATTTTCCACAGGAAAATCTTTTCTGGTGCCTGACCCCTGGCCTCCCTCATTAGAATGTGAGCTCCTTGAGGGCAGGGAGGCTTTTTTTTCCTTTTCTTTATAACCTCAGCATTTAGCAGTCAGTAAGGACTCAGTAAAAGCTTACTGACTTACTGTCTTCCCCTACCCTCTCCCCATTGACCTCTCATGTCACCATGCTTTTGTTTATGCTCTTGCCTAGCCTCAAATGTTGAGGGTGTCACCTTCTTCACCTTTTGAAACACTACATATCCTTTAAGCCCTTTCAAAAGGCTAAGAAGCCTGCTCTGATTTTACTAGGTACTAACTTAGCAGTACTAGTAGTAATGAGCACCTAGGTGGTATGTGAATAGAGAGCCAGGCCTGGAGTCAAGAAGACCTGAGTTCAAATTAGGCCTCAGACACTTCCTATCTATGTGACCACGGGCAAGTCACTTAACCCTGTTTGCCTCAGTTTCCTCATCTGTAAAATGAGCTGGAGAAGGAAATGGCAAACCACTCCAATATCTTTGCCAAGAAAATCCCAAAAAGGTCATGAAGAGTAGGACACAACTGAAATGACTTGAATAACAACACTAGTAGCATCAGTAGTAGTAGTAGTGGGGGGTAACTTATTTAATACTAATAATAGCTACACAGCTTTAAGGTTTGCAAAGCGATTTATAAATATCATCCTATCTTATCTTCACAACAGCCTTAGGAGTTGGGATAGGTGCTATTATTATACCCATTTTACAAGGGAAGAATCTGAGGCACCCAGAGATTATATGACTTACCCAAGGTCACACAGCTAATAAGCATCTGAGGCTAGATTTTGAGTGAGATAGATGAAGTTACCTCAGTACTAAAACTCATAAATTCCCTTTGTACCCCCAAAACAGTAAAACTTGATGAATCTGCAAATATTTGCTGTGCATTAAGCAAGAATTAACCTGTGCTCCAATTCCTCTAGCAAGGTAAAAATTGTGAAAGACTGCTAGTTTAACCAGCAGGGGCTTTCTGCTTATCTGTCTCTAGGCGGAACTTCTAAACAGTTATGGAAAGTCTTCTCGATCCTTTGTCTCTGGGCAGAACTAAGTAGATTATTAAAAGTCTCCCCGAGCTTTTGTCTCTAGGCAAATATTTCCAAATAAGAATATTATTGTACTAAGGGTCTTAGACAGCCGCGTTTAGATTGTGCACCCTGAAACCCAGCCAATGGGAAGAAAGGTTCAGGAATGGGGAGGGGGTATCGCGTTAAGACTACAAAACTTTGTTCCCCACTAACGGACTTTGCACTCCCTGGCTGTCGCTGCTTGAGCAACCGGGGCTATGCCCTTTCACACGCGAAAGAATAAAACCTTTTCTGATCTCTGACTCAGCCTCCGAACTTTTAATTCTAGTGTGGCCGTTGTCCCACACAATTTGAACCCACATCCTCCTGATTCTCTCCACTGTTCCACCTAGCTGCTTAAAAGTCTGCCTGCCCACCTGCCTTCCTCTCTCCTTCCTTTTTTTCCTTCCTTTCTTCCTCCGGCTTTCCCTCTTTTTAAAAGACCTAGCTCCTTGTCTCACGTTACTTAGCCTGGAAAAGGAAAGTTCCTTTGAATTGTAATTACTTGTGTTATCCCTGATTTAAATTTCAAGTGGCCCAAATTGTTATTATGATTTATAGGAAAACTCACCTTTGGTTTAAAGATCATTTCAACAGAAACATCTGGAACTTCCATCAAATGATTAGCACCGCCATCAGAAAATTTGCATGAAACAACTCTTTGACTAAAATTTGACCTAATGGTGAATGTTTTTGACTGGAAAAATTTGTTATTCTGATATAGAACAAAGCCAAATTTCCCATTGGTGCCTGTAGATAAGAAAAAATTAAAATATGCATGAGATCAATGTAGAAATGGACACAAAAGAAGGAGAAGAAATGAAAGCTGCCATAGCCTTATTTACAGACTGCTCAGAACCCTCATGCCTACACCTCCTGATTACCTTCTTCAAAAATGAGTCAGAAGGCCTTGGAAACGGCAAACACTGAATGCCTTCATTTTAATAATAAAAAAAAAAAAGAAATTGACTACATCAACATACAGGAAAAGAACTGGTTATAAGCCTAGCTTTCCCACCCCCATCTCCCAGCTCAGAATTAGTTGTACATGTGTGACCAGATCAATGACTGCTTACAGCAAAGGTCAAAGTAAATTAAACATGTGAAAAGGGATAGCTAGGTAGCACACTGGATAGAGCACTCGCTCTGGAGTCAGGAGGACCTGAGTTCAAATCTAGCCTCAGACACTTACTAGCTGTGTGACCCTGGGCAAGTCACTTAAACCCCATTGCCTCTCCCCTCCCCCCACCAAAAAATAATGTGAAAAGACAGTGTAATTATAGTCATTCTGATTTGAAACTATGCCAAAAGGGGCTATGAAACTGTGCATACCCTTTGACCCAGCAATACCATTTCTAGGGCTGTATTTCAAAGAGAATATAAAAACAGGGAAAAGATGCATTAGTGTGAATATGCTGCCTTCTGAGGAACTGAGTTCGCTGTCACTAAAAGTATGTGAGAGGAGGCTCAGATAATTATCAACAAAGCTGAAGAATGGATCCCTTCAATGGGAATTAACATGGTAAGGTGAGTGCTAAGCTTAGAGTCAGGAGACCCCTGAGTTTTGAACTTCAGCTCTGAAATTTTCTACTACTGTAACTTTGGAGAAGTCACTGAATCTCCCTGAGCAATTCTTCCTTAGTCAAATGGGATTAATAATACTTTGAATACTAACCTCCAAGGATCGCTGTGAGGAAAGCACCTTGCAAACCAAAAGTGTTACTGTTAATACTATTTCTAAACAAGACCGCCAACCAGATTGTATTTAACTGTCTTCCGATTAAAAAAAGACTAAAATAGGTCAAATTGATGAGCAGAATATAATGAGATAAAATTTAAGAGCAGGAGTTTGTTTTGCTGAGTATACATGTTTATAATAGAGGTTTTGCTTTCTTTCTCAATGAATGGGGGAGTCAGGAAGGAGAAAAGGCAAATTTCTGTTAAAAAATAAAATTCAATAGAAAAAATACAAATTCACATGTGGGGATTTTTTTAAGTCATTGTTATAAGTACAACATAGGCAAGGTGTGGTAAGAAAGAAGTTTGTCTGAAAAAAATATCTAGGGAGACAGCTAGGTGGCACAGTGGATAGAGCAGCAGCCCTGGAGTCAGGAGGACATGAGTTCAAATCCAAACACTAACTGTGTGACCCTGGGCAAGTCACTTAACCCTGATTGCCTCCCCCTCTCCTCACCCCCCCACCTCCATCCCCTGCCAAAAATATCTAGGGAATTTAGTAAACTCTGAGCTCAATTTGAGCCAACAGTGAGAGGCAGCATGTTGTGATGGGTAGAGGTTAGAAATTCAGAAAAACTTGAGTTAAAGTCCTGCCTATGACTCTGACTAGCTGTATAACCCTAGGCTAGTAACTTAAACCTGTGCCTACATTTTCTCATATTTGAAAAGATGGGAGTGGACTCATTGATCTCTCAAATCCTTTCCAACTCTCTAGGATCTAGAAGCCTGTAATTCTACATCAATTAAAAAATAAAAACTGGAACAAGTGGTGGTTGTCCCACTGTATTCTTCCCAGATCAGACAATAACTAAAGTGTTGTGTTCAAACTCTGTGTATCACATTTCAGAAAGAACATGGGCTAAGCTGAAGCTTAACCATATGAAGGTGAATAGAATGGTAAAAGGCCTCTAGAGCATGCCAGGTGAGAACGAAAGAAACTGAGAATAAGAAAAGATGAACAGGGAAGAAGGGAAGATGGGAAAGCTGCCTCCAAATATTTGAAGAGCTGCCACATGAAACAGCAATAACAGCTAGCATTTATATAACACTTTAAGGTTTGCAAAGCACTTTACAATTAGTATCTCATTTGATCCTCACAACAATGCTGGGAGGTACGTACCATTAATATCTCCATTTTATAGATGAGGAAACTGAGGCTGAGGTTAAGTGACTTGCCCAGAATCACACAGCTAGGAAACATCTGAGGCCACATTTGAACTCAGGTCCTCCTGACTCCAGGACTGGTGCTCTATCCACAGTGTCACCTAGCTGCCCCCCCATTTTTTCTCATTTATTAAACCTTTATTGACAGTAGCTGGAGGTTGAAACACATCCAGTGTCCCCTCCCCTTGATGCTCAGTCCAGGGGGGGCATCCCCTTTCCCCAAAGGAAGGCCGGGGGACAAGGGAGTAGGAAGGGGGCTGATCTGGGCCAGGCTGAAGGGGTGAATGGGCAAGAGTGCTGAGGGAAGACGTGCACCCTCAGACTTTGGGCTCATTCTTCTTCCTTGTAACCTGAAATCTGCCCCCACCTTAGGGAATAGGCAAGGTCAGAGAGCAGGGCTCGCGCAGTATGGTAAAGGGAGAGGGGGCCTGGCTCAGTCAGTCCCTTCCACTCAAGCTCGAGAGTCGGGTGAGGCTGTGCTGAGGACACAGACAGGGCCACCACAGTCTTGGGTGTGGTTTGAACATAAAAATACACAATTATATGCAGAGGGCGGGGGCTCTCCCTCACACCTCAGCCTCGGCCTTAGGGGAGGGGAAGGGGAAGGGGAAGAGCACAGATTGCCTTGCCCCTTACCCAGGAGGTGACAGCAACCAGATTTGAGGAGAGAGAGAAAAGAGAAGGGAAGAGAGTTGGAAGAAAGCTAGGAGAAAAGTGGGGAGGAGAAAACAGAGAAGGAAGGAAGCGGTGGGTGGCCCAGCAGGACCCAGTCAGGGCTACTTCTTAGACCGGCCAGTGATGACAAGGATATAGAGAAAGATGATGATGTCTGCATAGGGGTGCAGGGCAGCAAACACATATTTCTTGAGGCTTAGAGATGGCTACTTGTTCTCCAGAAGCAGCTGAGGGTCCACTGACAGGAAAAAGGTTTGCTCAACTGTAAAATGGGAATACTTACTACCTGTAGTATCTGTTCTCATAGTTGTTGTGAGAATCAAATAGCTAAGCTGTATAACCCTTAAATCACTATACAGATGTGAGTCGTTACTCAGACGAGGAAACTGAGGCCCAAAGAAGTGACTGGCCTAAGTCACACAGGTAGTAAGTAGCAGAACCGTTATTTGAACCTAGTGCTTGTGGCTCCAAAACCAGTGTTCTTTCCACTTCAGAAAAGGGGACTATTTACACAATATAATTTAAATGGTTCTGAAGTGTCTCCCTGCCCTGCCAATCTGCCTTGTTATTACCTAATCTTCCCATCTGCCATATTTGTTGTTCAGTTGTTTCAGTCGTGTCAACTCTTTGTGACCCTCTTTGGGGTTTTCTTGGCAAAGATACCAGAGTGGTTTGCCATTTCCTTCTCCAGTTCATTTTGCAGATGAAGAAACCGAGGCAAACAGGATTAAATGACTTGCCCAGGGATACACAGCTAGTGTGAGGCCAGATGTGAACTCAGGAAGATGAGTCTTCCTGATTCCAGGCCTGGCACTCTACCCACTGCACCACCTAGCTGCTCCCACCTACCATAAGAGTCTCACTATTAGAGATACTTCTTGGAATTATATGACAAAAGCAGAGGATGAGGTCTTCAGAAAAACACAGTTAAAATGCATATTTCCAGGGGTGGAAGAAAACTGGCAGCTTGCTGGACTGGCTTCTCTTCTAAGCCTTTCCCATTTTCATATCAAGACAGATTAGTTAATCAGGTCAATTAATTGTTACCTTGGACATTTTGGAAGGTACAAACAGACTAAGGCAGCAATAAGCTTGGGCATCAAGCAGAGAAGCATAAGGACCCTAAGTAGAGTGATAGAGTAGCATGGACAGATAGCAGAGTGAAAAGGGTACCCACAAAATAGAAGAGCATTGAAGGGGGCCTGCATAGGTTTGTCCAAAGTTGACTCTGAATGGTAGGTATGACTGTATCTATGAGGGGTTATGTCACTGTTAGCCCCAAAGATTTGGTGGGCCTTTTATTTTATTTTAAATTTATAATTTTAAAATTTATCTATAAGTGTTGGCTATCCTTCCTCCCCCCACCTGCTACCCAATTTCCAGAACTCCTACATATATTGTCTTCCCCCATAAGAATGTAAACTCTTGGAAGGTAGAGATTGTCTTGTTTGCTTTTAGCAGTATCCCTAACTTGTAGCATGATGCTTGACACATAGTTAAGTGCTAAATAAATACCCTACCTCCTTCACTCACTCACTCACTCACTCACTGCCTTCCTTCTTCCCTTGTTCCTTCCCATCTTCCCTTCCTTCCTCCCCCTTTCCCTTCCTCCCTCCTTTCTTTTTCTTTCTCCCTTACTACCTCCCTTCTTTCTCCCTTCCTTCATTCCTTCCTTATTCCTTCTCTCTCTTCCTTTCTTTCTCCCTTATTCCTTTCTTTCTTTTTTCTTTCCTTCATTCCTCTTTCCCTTCTTCCCTCTCCTTCATTCCTTTCTTCCTCCCTCCTTCCTTTCTTCTTTCTTCCCTTTTTACCTTCATTCTTTCCTTTTTCCTATTTGTTATCTGTCTATGTCTGTACTGGCCACCTTTTGAGATGAAGGCAGAGTGGATCCTATAACTTGAGTTCTTTATATCTTTCTTTTTCTTGTTTTGCTGTACTTTTGCAAGTGTTTAAAAGTTAGCAGAATTGATGAATATCATTTCTCTGGACTGCAATATTTTGAAAACTCTCATTTCCAAAATATTTCAGAACTTGTCATATTCAATCACAAATTACTCAGTGGGCAAAGAAGTATTATATCACCCTCAAGAGAAGGCTTTTTGTTCTCAACATAATTCAGGTAACTTTAATTTTTAAAAATGAAAGAGTCAAAGACTTACTTTGTGTGGTATTGATTAGAATCTGCAGCTCTGTTTTGTCCTCTGGTTTCAGCTCCTCATTTATTTCTATATATGTTTGTTGTGAATCCAGAATGTCATTAGCTCCTGTGGAAAAGGAAAATTTGACACCATCCCACCCACCCACCAAAAAAATTTTAATAAAGAGAAAATAAGTCACTGTTGTTGACAAGCATTTTGATAAATGATGTTAGTATTAGTAAGTAAAGAAAAGTCACTTACCTCTTTGGACAGAAAAAAGAACAGTTACAGGCTGTGGAGTATCTTCTGCAGCTGGGGCAACAGACTGGATGGCAATGTTGGGATAGAATAGAGAGTCATTCATCAAAGACAAGGAATAATTCTCCAATTCTGTAGTGAGGCTACATTGATAGAAGAGAGAATATTCTTTAGATCTCCTCATGAAATTCTATGTGACTTTTACTCTAAAGTCCATAGAAGTATATTGGGGATATGCCCATTGCCTTTTTGACCAAGAGATCCCACTGCTAAGTAGACAGGCTAAGGAGGTAAAAGGAAAAAAAAGAAAGAAAGGTTTCACAAACTAGAATATTCTCAGCACCACTTTCTTATGGTAGAACTAGAAAACAAAGTCAATGCCCATACATTGGGGAATAGCTGAAGAAATTATGGTACATGAATCTATTAAAATATAATTGTACTGTGAGAAACAACAAATATGAAAAATTCAGAGAAGTATGGAAAGATTTATGTGAACTGTTGGAGAGTAAAATGACCAGAACCAGGAAAATGACATACCCAATGACTACCACAAAGTAAGCAGATATAATCAAATAAATAACCAAAACCACCAAAACTGAATACTGTGTAATTATAATGACCAAGTTTGATCCTAAAAAAGAAGATGCAAAATTCTCCTCTCTTCTTTTCTGAAGTGGTGAACTATTGGTATAGGATATTATAATTACTGTTGTAAGAGTGATGTCAAACCACCCCTTTTTGGCTTGGGTGCCTTGTCTAGGTGAGAACGCTTTTCTATTAAGTCAGTCAGAAATGAGTGTGAATTGGGGTGGTACATCTCCTTGAATCAATCAAAGCCATTGTGTGAGAGACTAGGTCCTGTCTTAAGCAATTTCTATAAAAGGATGAAGGATGTCTCAGAAATACAGGAGAGAAGAAATTGTGAATGATGTGTGGACTTGAAAGGTGTCTTGCAAACCTGACATTTCCAACATACTTCTGAGGACCACAAGGAAGACTAAGCCATGGTAGAGAAGAAATACATCAAGGAGCATCTCTGGCTATATAGGCATCTTGAAGTGAAAGACCTAGGTGGAGGGAAGTCCTAAGAAAAGGTCAGCTCTTTCCTCAATTCCCCCTCCTCATGCCTGTCTGTCTATCCACAGACACTACTATAATCTGCTGTTACATTTTCCAAAATGTCCAGGAAACCGAATTTTACCTCAACCAGAAGGAGGTCAGGAATGAACTAGAAACAGATATAAATGTAAAGTTAGGCAGATAACCCCGTCTCTGTCTAGTTATGATGAATTTTCCAAACTGGGGCTCAGAATAATTGTATATGAATTCAGAACTTTTCACCTAAAAAAACCTTCCCCAAAGCAGAAGAGGAAGGAACCAAGTGTATTTTAGGGATTACTTATTGTTGCCTAGGCTTCAAATGAGCTAATTATTGTAATAGACTGTTACACTGTCAGCCATATATGATGGATTGATTGCTTTTGATGACTTGGGTTTTTTCTCTTTCTTTTTAAAACTTTATTCTAAAGGATGGCTTGCTGATGAGAAAATGAAAGGAATATGAAAATGATATAAAAACAAAAGACATTAATAAAAATATTTCAAATGTTTGCTGTTGTTATTCAGTCCTGTACAACTTTTCATGACCCCATTTGGGGTTTTCTCAGCAAAGATACCATTGCCCTTTCCTTCTCCAGGTCATTTTACAGAAGAGGAAACTGAGGCAAACAGGGTCAAGTGACTTGCCCAGGGTCCCACAAGTAAAAATCTGAGTCTGGATTTGAACTCATGTCTTTCTGACTCTAGTTCTAGCACTCTATCCACTGCACCATCTAGCTGCCTCCTTTAAATGTTTATGTCTAGCTTAAAAATGGAAAGACACTTGGGGTAGGCTTTATTGCAGTAGAAGATTTGAAGTGAGTAATTAGATTTGGAGACATAGAATCTGAGTTCAAATCCCACTGCTACTTACTACCTATGTAGCCTTCAACAAGTCACTTAGACAAAGCAGCAGGGTATAAGAAAAAGAGTACTGAACTTGGAGGACTGAGCTTAGATTCACTGGAACCGAGTCTCAATCCTGGTCCTTGCCATTCTTTATTTGTGTGACCATGGGCAGGTCACTTAACCTTCTAGGCCTCATTCTCCTCAACTATAAAATGAAGAGATTGTCTTAGATGGCCTCTGAGGCCCCTTCCAGGTCTAACTTTATGATGTTATGCTCCTTTGGCTTATATTCTTAAATAGCTTGTGGGATCAGAACAACAAAAACCTTCACATGACAGCAGTGTGAACAAGACCACCTAAAACACACATTGGTATCATGCCAGTTTTGGGCAGCTAGGTGGCTCAGTGGATATCACCAGGCCCAGAGTCAGGAATATTCATCTTCCTGAGTTCAATTTCAGCCTCAGATATTTATTAGCTGTGTGACCCTGGGCAAGTCACTTAACCCTGCTTGCCTCTGTTTCCTCATCCATAAAATGAGCTGTAAAAAGAAATGGCAAACCACTCCAGTATCTTTGCCAAGAAATCCCTGAATGGGATTGTGAAGAGTCAGACATGACGGAAACAATTCAACAACAAAGATATCACACCAATTTGCTTTCTTGACTGAAGTCTCACTCTAAAACAGAAGAACCTAGATTGGAAAGTGAGGAGAGCATAGAGTCTTTCAGGAACCAGCGTCCATGGCTCGATATGGAAGGCAGAATGAAGCTTCATTTTGGGGGTAAATAAATGGATGAAAACTGAATGGGTTATTAGGCCTCTTGAAGAGGATTTGTAGACCATATTATGGTGACTAACTAATGAGTCTCCCAAAAGAAAGTTACAATGACTGTGCTGTTCTTCATAATTAAAAAAAAAAAAGATAGCGCCGTCAATAGGTCCTACACTTTAACGTTTTTTTCCTAACAGTTGGGAAAGATTTGTGCTAATCTTCCCTTATGAGAAATGGCAAGGTTTTTAGTCAGATAGGTTCCAAAGTAGTTAGAGTCCTGGACCTGGAGGCAGGAAGACCTTACTAGCTGGGTGACTCTGAGCAAGTCATTTGACCACTATCTCCCTCAATTTGCTTATTTGTAAAATGGGGATAATAATAGCACTTACCTCCTATGGTTGTTGTGGGGATCAAATAAGATGATAATTGTAAAATGCTTTGCAAACCTTAATATACTATAGAAATGCTAAGTATTGTTGTTGTTGTTCTTCTACACTGAACAAAAGAATGTTAATGGAAAATATTTGATGTTCATATTAGCAGGATTAATATTGATTTAGCAATTTAATTTGTAAACACAATTATAATCAGTTGAGGTTTCTAGGTGGCCCAGTGGATAGAGTACTGAAGGAATTGGGAACTCCTGGGTTCCAATACCCTCTCAGATACTTCCTAAGCTGTATGACCCTGAGCAGATCATTTAACCTCTCTGTACGTCAGTTTTCTCATCTATAAAATGGAGATATTAATAGCACCTACCTCACAGGGCTATCGTGAGAATCAAACGAAATAATATATGTAAAGTCCTTAAAGCACTATATAAATATTAGCTATTAATATGCTATCATTGGTTATTAATATTTTAGTTATTAATGTTAAAAGGTAATTGAAATTATTTTATATTAGTTATTAATATTTTCAGCTTCATCAGAACATAGAACAGTTGTGCAATACTGCTAATTAAATACATCACATTTCACTTCTGCTCTGTCACTCTCCAATCAAACAGTCTCTCTGAGCCCAGAAATGTCTCTCTTCTCAATAGACTGATTCTCCAAATCTGACTTTAAAGAACTAGTGCTGGACCTAAGGGGAGGAGAGAGTAGAATTTTGGATGATGGAAAGTGATTTTGGAAATTTTGGCTGATGTGATGAAGGAAAAGATGAGGTGCCATCCCCCAGGACCTAGGCTTTCCCAATGCCTACTGCTGGGCATTGTGTGGGAGACAGGGAATTTTGTGGAAGAATTTTATATGGAAAAGCAGGTTGAACAAAGGGTTTCTCATGATCTCAAGTTTACCCTCTGCCTCAGCCTGGTCAGTAGAATTTCTTTTTTTTTCCTTCAGTTTTGGATGGCACCCAAGTGCTGAATCATTGTATGTTGTGCAAGATTTGGTTCTGCCAGTTCCAGACAAATAATTCAACTTCATGTAGAGAATGTTGCTCTGGGCTGAGTCTGTGAGGCATCAACACAAGCCAAAGTCATATAGCCAAAAGGACCCCAGCCCACTCTACAGAGATTTTATCAACCCACTCCCTGTTAGAAGCATAAAGCATCCCCCACTTATCCCTTCCTAGTGCCTTAATTTTTTTTGTTACAATTTGGTGCTCCAATCAGTGTTCCCACAATTCTTGAACTTCACAGTCAGCAGTGTGTCCCTCACTTTAGTCAACCTAAGGCTGATAGTGCCATCTGCCAGTTTTATCTCCACATCAACACTTTCTCCCCGTTTTCCTGGGCTCCTTCATACCCATATCCTCTGTGAGGAAGGGGGATGGGGTTCAGGGGAAAGAGAAGACCTCACATTTTCCTCCTCCTTCCCAACGTTTTCATCCAGTCCTCCAAAATAGCATCGTACCTTCTAGGTGGATTTAAATGGGAGTTTACCATAAAACATTGTGGTCAAATTATTCAAAGGGATGACAGTACAATAACAGATGGAAATGATAAAGCACGTAAATATAAAGTGAATAAAGTGAAAATAAAGTGGGAACGATAGCGTGACGTAAAATTTGGACACCATCTCAAAGTATGGAGATGTCATGTACTAGATAAGGACATGTAGAGCTAGGTCACATACTTAAGCCAGGCACAGACTTATTCGTGAATCTTTGCTTGGAATTCTGGTTGGATTGTTTGTATTTTTTTCTTAGAATTTTAGTGTCTATTGGGCACTTAGCCCCTAATGTCATGCTGTATTCCATTGTGGTTTTGATAAGGGTCTCTGAGGTCTCTTCCAGTTCTATATCTATGATCCTATGATTTTCATGGGTACACAGAGTTATATTCTGTTATGTAGCTGGTACATACCTTGAAGGTCTCTTCTAGTTATAAATCCATAATCCTATGATCCTATGTATTAAGGATGAATAAAACTACTAAAGAATATAGAAGAAATACGGGAAGGAGCATTCCTTTTCACACTGGCCTAGGGATTTTTGCAAGTGCAAAACACAGAACTAATGTGAGGTCAGTACAGGGGCCTGAAGCTTGAGATGAGGGAGTTGGGGGGAGGGGAATACCTTGCAGACTAACCAACAACCACTGCAGTAAATGATTTGGATAGGAGGTAGCACAGCATAATGAAAAGAACACTAGATCTAGAATCAAAGGACCTGAGTTCAAACCCCACCTCTGATGTTGACTACATGTGTGATCTTGGATAAGCCACCTGGGGGAACTTCAATTTCCACATTTGTAAAATACAGGCTTTGGATAAGATTGCTTCTGAGGTCCCTTCCATATCTAGATCTGTGATGCTGCTGTCATGGCAACAAAGTGGGGAATAAAAAGGGGATGGGGTCACTCATCTCCAGTCTTTGGTCCTTCCAGTTGGGCAAGTCTAGTAGAGCTTGCAAGGTCAGGACTAGAAGCAGTTTGCATAATTTCTAGACCACCAGAGTTACAAGGACTATGTTTGCCTCTATAGGCATATAGGTTTGCTCCTCTGGGGCCACAAAGCCAATTGTACATGATAGAAAACCAACTGGAAACCAAGGCTTTCAATCTATAGTTCACTACTCCAACCAATTTCATGAAGCTATGGGAGAAATGAAGCAATTTTTGTTAATGTTTTAATATTGGCAATAAACAAATAAATACATGAATTAATAAAGAATGAATGAATGAATTGTGCACCATTGTTTTGTTTCTAAATTGTAACTATTCTTACCTTCCAAAGCTGCCAGCATGTTGGAAAACACTTTCTTCAGCATCTAGAAGTTGGCTTACTGTGGCTACTGCAATTTTCTTTGCCTGATAAAGAGAAAGGAACAAAAGTTCACAGAATCAATTGATCATTCAATGAACCTTAAAGAGACTAAGAAACTTCTTTCTAAATGTATGTGAGAAGGCAGGTGTAAATACAGAAATCTGGTTGAAGTAACAGTAAAGAGGCAGAAAGGGGGCATTATGGACAGAACCTGATACCACTCTGCTCACAGGTGAATTAATGCTTTTTTGTGGGGTACCGTCACAATGTGGGACGGTATACAAAACGGGGAGGGCTAGTATTGAGGGGAAGGTGACCCCTGCGGTCTAAGAAAGAGAAGGGCCTATGAGGGCAGGAGTGAAGAGGAAAGGTTAAGAAAGGGTAAGAAAGCTCCTTGCTTTTGAAGATGGAAGGGGATTCAATTGATTAACTCCCCTATGAGTGAAGAGAAATGGTCCATGAAGGGAAGTGGAGACTTTGCATTGGGTGTGGCCTGGGCAATTTGGTACTTGAAATACCTACTCCTTCTACCTCAGAAGGGAGTTATTTGGAATTCCTGGGGGCAACTGGCACCTGGGGAAGTGGAAGACAGTGAACCCAGGAAGGAGATTTTGAGGCAAAATGGGGGAATAAAGGTAACTAGGTGAGGGTACAGATGATTGGTAGGCTGCATAATCAGGGATGTGATGGGAGAGAGGCCCTACCATGGGCAGTGTCCTCTCTGACACCTGCAATAACTGGTGATGTTCTGGGAGTGAAGTGCAATGGAAAAGAGGAATCTATTGCTCTGTAAAGCAGTGGCAGAAACTGCCTAGAAGGGAGAACCAAGAATTGATCTCTGGGAAGCTTTAACTGCATGAGGAATCCAGAGGGAAAAAAGAGACCAGATAATTATAAGGTCATCAATCAGAGAATGAGGGTCTAGAGCAGACAGAGAGGATAGATAATGAAGACAATGAGACAAATCTTTTGTGGAAAGAGGAGCAAAAAAATGAAATTTAAAAAATTAATAAACAGAACTAATTGAAGGGAAGAAGAGGAAAGGGGAATTTACTTAACTGAGCAAAAAAAAGGAAAGTAAATATTATATGACCAGATTAAAAAAAGAGAAAAAAAGAAACTAATAAGCAAAAGTCTAAAGGAAAAGGGGTAGCAAATGAGAGGAGAGGATCAGAGGTGAGGGGAAGAGAGCCAGTGGGAATAGGACCATCTTAAGAAAATTAATGTAAAGTAACTGAAGGAACATAATACTGTAGAGTAGAAGAGGAAAAAATCGTAACTTGAAAAAAATTATTAGAGACAGATGGAAGAAAACATTAATGTAAACCTCATAACTTTAGAGGTAAACACACATTTCACATGTATTGATCAGTCGTGCTGATATTTTTTCCTCTCTAAAAAATACTGTTTGTTATGGGGGATGGTTCTCGGGGAAGGGAAGATATATTTAGGATAATTGTGATGATGTAAGAAATAGAAGATATCAGTAAAAACATTTTAAAATAATTACATAGTTCAATAAGCATTTATTAATCACCTAGTGTGTGCTAGACATTGAGAACTTCTTGTTGTTCAGTCATGTCCTGACTCTTCATGACCTCATTGTAGCTTTACATGGCAAAGATTCTGGAGTGGTTCGCCATTTCTTTCTCCAGGTCATTTTACAAATGAGGAAACTGAGGCAAGCAGGATTAAGTGACTTGCCCAGGGTCACATAGCTAAGAAGTGTCTGAGGCCAGATTTGAACACTGGAAGATGAGTTTTCCTGACTTCAGACCCAACGCCACCTAGCTGCTGTTGGACAATGAGTCCACAAAGCCCAAATTCAATGAAACAGACTCTATCCTCAAGGAACTTACAATCTCTTTGTTTTGTTTTTTTTTTAAATTTTTAAAAATTTTTATTTATTTATTTATTTTTTTTTTAATTTTTAATTAAATTTCATTTTATTTTTACAAAGTTCCTTCTCTCTATTCTACTCCTCTCGTTGAAAGACCAAAAAAAAACTGTACAACATGTACAGTCAAGCAAAACAAATTTTCATCCAAAATATACACTTCTTAATCTGCAGTGAGTCCCTCATGTCTCTGTCAGCTAGTCAGTAGCAGCTTACAGTATTTTGGAGAATTTATATGTAAGTTCTGGAAGGGGGAGGGGAGGTGGTGATTTAAGGATATACATATATACATTCATATATACAAATATAAACATATATGCTTTTTATCAACTATCATCTAACTATGCTATACTATATGGAGGCACCTCCGTCTCACAGTGGATAGAGAGCTAGACCTGGAATCAGCAAGACATGAGTTCAACTCCAGTCTCAGACGCTTACTAGCTACGTGACCCTGAGCAAATCACTGAAACTCCCTCTGCCTCAGTTTTCTCAGTAATAATAGCACTTAATTCCCAGAGTTGTTTTGAGGACCAAATGAGATAATATTTCACATTAAAGTGCTTTTACACTTTTTTTACACCTTAAAGTGCTATGTAAAAGATAGCTTTTTATATACATACATAAAATATACACGTATACTGTGTATAAGCACATGAAGCCTAGTGACTTTTTAGCACCTCTATATCAAATAAAACCCTTACTTTCCTAGTTTTCTAGCACCTTACATCCCTATCCCGCCCCCACATATCTGCCATCCAGTGACATTAGCCTCCTTGCTGTTCCTTGAATGAGATACTCCACCTCCTGAATCTGGCATTTTCATTCACCTGTGTCTAGTTTCCCCCTCCCTCCTGACTTCCCAGGCTCCTTTCAGTTCCAGATTAAATCTCAGCTTCATAGGAAATGTTTTCAGATCCCCCTTATTTCCAGGGCATTGCCTCTGTTGATTATCTCCTATTTGTCCTGTATACATCCTCTTTTTACATAGTTGATGGTGTGGTGTCCCCCCATAAGACTGTAAGCTTCTCAAGACTGCAAACTGTCTTTGCCTTTCTTTGTACCCCAGCACTTAATACAGTGCCTGGCACATAGTAAGAACTTAACGAATATTTATTGACTGACTATCTATATACACACAAACTCACATAATAGTAATTAAGAGAAAGCAGCTTCATGAGGCAAGGAGTACTAATAACTGGGGGAATCAGAAAGGGTTTCCAGAGGTCAAAGGACAGAGGACTGTTGTTAAGTACCTGAATAGAGATGATGGTACCTAGGCAATATATTTGATGCTCCATTTTCTGATAGCTAAAGCAAAGAGGAGAATATGTGGGTTGGGTCACATATTTAGCAAAATAAAAACACATTTTCAGTGACATAAACCTTTCCCAGTCCTAGATCATGGAACAAAGTGTGGGTTCTATTTCTGTTTGTGGAATCCTGGGAGTCTCACCTCAGGTACTGCATTCCTGGATGCGTTAAAAATCTGTTGCACCACAATGGCAGCAAATGAGATGTCCTGAGCAGTCAATATGCTTGCATCAGAGGTTAAAAGCAGGGCTTCAGAAGAAATCTCCAAAGAATTTTCTGTAATATTTTCCACCTGTTTAAAACAAAATGAAACAAAATTTTTCCCTATTTCACACAGTTATGTATATATAGCTGCACAATCTTTTGAAGAATGGGTTTGCTTGAGGCTGCCTTTTACCACCAAGTATTCTAGTACTCCTCATTATTCTAGTCAATCGATCAATCTTAGTAAGTGCCTGCTATATGCCCGGCACAAACAAGACACTCCATCTCTTGGCTCCTGGCATTTTCTCTGACTCTCCCCTATGCCTGGAATGCTCTCCCTTCTCATCTCCTTCTACTGGCTTCCTTTGGCTTTCTTTAAATTCCAGATAAAATCTCATTTTCTACAGGAAGCTTTTCCTAGCCCCCCTTAATTCTAGTATCTTCCCTCTCAATTATTTTCTATTTTTCCTATCTGTGCAGCTTGCTGGTATAGATTTGTTTATTTGCTGTCTCCTTCCATTAGACTGTGAACTCCTTGAGGCCAGGACTATCTTTTGCCTCTTTTTGTATCCCCAGTGCACAGTGCCTGGCACGTATTGCTGTTGCTCAGTCCTTTTTCAGTTGTGTCCAACCCATAACCCCTTTGGGGGTTTTCTTGGCAGAGATACTGGAGTGGTTTGCCATTTCCTTCTCTGGCTCATTTTACAGATGAGGAAACTGAGGTAAACAGGGCCAAGTGACTTGCCCAGGGTCACACAGCTCTAGGAAGTATCTGAGATCAAATTTGAACTCAGGTCCTCTGATACCAGTCCTGGGGCTATATCCCCTGTCCATCTGGCTGCCTCATGACACACAGCAGGTGTTTAATACATGTTTATTGGTTGATTGATTGGTCCTAGGAACACGGATTTTTAAACTCGAAAAGACCTTAAGGATTATCTGGTTCAATCCATTCATTACAGATAAGGAAACTGAGACCCAGATAGGTTAAGTAGGGAAGATTATCCAAGATCACACAGGTGGTAAGTGATAGAGTTGAATCCAGCAATCTTTTTATAATACTACACTGCCTCCCAAAGGTCAAAGTTGGCAAAACACATACAAATTAGAAACTTTTCCCAACATTTTGGGACTTTTTCAAAAATAAGATAGTTCTGGAAGGTGGGAGGTTGGACTAGAAGACCTTTGAAAGCTCCCTTCAGCTCTGTAACCTGTGGTCTACAGATAAAAAGAAGTCAATAAAATAGTTAATTTAATAAAGTTTAACATAAGCATTCTGTGTCCTTTAATTCCAGTTAAATGGCAACACAGTTTCAAAAAACAAGGCCAAATCCGGCCTCAGACACTCGACACTAGCTGTGTGACCCTGGGCAAGTCACTTTAACCCTAATTGCCTCACCAAAAAGCAAAAAAGAAAAAAGGGGGAAAAAAGAATGTAAGGTCCTTGAGGGCAGGCATTGTCTTTCCTCCTGCTTGTTTTCCCTTCACTTAGCACCGTGCTTAGAACATAGTAAGTGCTTAACAAATGCTTGTTGACTTGCAAGTTTGACTTAAAGGTGAAGGTGTCAGTGACTCCAAGTCTCAGAATTTGGGAATTACAACTAACTCGAAATTTGTGATTATCTAACTTATTGACCTCAGGCATCATGACATAATGGGAAAAAAATGTTAGATTTTGATCCTGAGTTTGAATTCTGTCCTTATGACTTACTACTTTTGAGATCTTAAGAAGTCACTCTCTGGGTCTCAGTTTCCTTAATTATAAAATGAATTGATTGGATTAGACCAGGGGTGGGAACCTTGGGTGTGGCCTTTTGACTGAGTCCAACTTTTGCAGAACAAATCCTCTAATTAAGGAGATTTGTTCTGTGAAGTTCAGATTCAGTCAAAGAGTCTCACTTGAGGACCTAGAGGGCCACAGGTGGCCTCCAGGCCACAGGTTCCCCACCCCTGGGTCCTTCTAGCACTAATGGTCTGGATCAATCTCTTCATTTTTAAAGATGGAGAAACAAAGGTAAAGCAAGTTTCACATGGTCTCACAGCTAACCAATGACAGAACTGAGACAGGAATATGGGTCTCATAACCTAAAGTTACATGCTTTTTCTTCTGAGGCGATGTTTCAATATCTACAGCATGCATGTGTTTTATAGGAAGACACAGATAAATTCGGTATTGTTTAATCCAAAGGAATGCATCTGGATGGAGGATATACTTTTAGTCACAGAGGCCATTCTGCATTACAAATATCTTCCCTTCCCCCCCATTTCCCAGTGGAACAGACTACTGAGTTAGGAGGTGGTGATTTTCCCAATCATAGGAAAGACTGGAGGGCTGTTTTTATTGGGGGCATAGTACAAGGCTTCCTATTCAACTAGGAGTCGTGCTAAATAATACATGAGATTCTAGGATTCTTATCACAAGAGCAACCCTCGGGGTTAGCTGTAATCTATCCATCTTGGGTCTCTCAGCACAGTGTCCCAATGTCTCATTGGAGTCTATAGGTTGCTAACAGATTGTGGAGAGCTTTGGATGCCAGGCAAAGGATTCTGAACTTCATTCAATGGGCAATAATGGGCCATTGTGGGGTTTTGAGCAGATAAGTAGCATGCCCAACTTATGCAAATCTGACCACTATGTGAAGGGGAGTCTTGGAAAGCATAGGGTATGGAGACCTTTTTGGAAGTCTCTAATTGCCCATGTTGGGGCAGCTAGATGGAGTAGTGGATAGACTGCCAGGCCTGGAGTTAGAAAGACTCATTTTCCTGAGTTCAAATCCAGCCTCAGATACTTCCTAGCTTTGTGACCTTGGGCAAGTCACTTAACCTTGTTTGCCTCAGTTTACCTATCTGTAAAATGAGCTGGAGAAGGAAATGGCAGACCACTCCACTATCTTTTACATAGCACTTTAAGGTGTAAAAAACAAAACCAAACCCTGAATGGAGTCACAAAGAGTCAGATATAACTAAAAATGACTGAACAATGACAATTTCCCATGTGACTTGTATTACAGTGGCAGAACAAACAGATAAAGGGAAAAAAATTCAAGAAATATTATGGAGATAGACTCAGCCATGCCCTTCAGAGACCCTTTCAGGAGTTGGGCCTTAATGGAAATTTTTAAGAAAGATAGCTCACAAATTAATAATTTATTAATATACTGTATAATATTAATTTCTCTCTATAGATAATGTTAACTTGTGGTTTTCTAAGTCACTATGCAACCCACACCAATGAAATCAAAAGTCTGTCTTCTCCCCACCCCCCAAAAAAAAACCCAATTTAAAAAATGAAGCTGAAGCCATGGGAATGAATGAGATGATGTAAGGAAGAGGGCTGAGGACAGAGTCTTGGGCAACACTAGACAGAGAATCTTAAGGGATGGGAAAGAGAATGAAAAGAAGTAGTTGAAGCAGTAGGAGGAGAACCAAAAGAATGTGGGTTCATGGTAGCCAGGAAGCAGCGATCAATTGTGTCAAACGTTGCATAGAGTCAAGAAGAATGAAGAGAATGAAAAGAAAGGCTTCTGGATTTAGCAATCATCTACAGGTCATTGGTGACCAGTAAAAGAGCAGCTTCTGTAGAGTGATGGAGATGGAAACCACATTGCAAAAGGTTGAAGGAAATAGTAGATGGCAAAGAAGTATTGTTCTTGAATAGGAACACTGTTTTCAGGTAGTTGGAAGGAAGGAAGGAAGAGAGGAAACAAGCATTTCTATAACACCTACTATGTGCCAGGCAGTGTGCTAAGGACTTTACATAAGGCAAACTGAGACTCCAGGCCCAGCTCTTCATCTCCTGCTTCAAGAATGATAAGCATGGAAAGAAGGAAAGGACAGCTCAATCTGGGTCCTGAAGAAGGTTGGAAGTTATGAGATCAAAGTCAATGGGAAGGCTTTTAAGAAGCTAGAAGGGACTCCAACCCCAACTCCAATGCAGTGTTCTGAGGTCAAGTTCAGTGTTCTTTCAGCTAAACCACTTTGTCTCTATCACCATGCAGAAGTATTGCTTTTGCCAAGCACTAGCTCTGCTAAGGGAACTAGATGCCACTGCCTTAAGGAGTGGCTGGGCCTAAGATTTGTAACCCATGTCACTGGTGCCATGGAGGTCGCTAATTGTAGCCTATTACTCCCCAGTTCTACACTCTTCTTTTCCTTTCAACTCTCCTTATTCTTTCTTTCTTTGTCTTCCCCCATTTTCCCTTCTACCCCATTAATGTTTAATCTGGTTAAATAGGCTACTGATTTCTGATTGGGAGTGGGGAAAGGGTGGCACAAAAGCTCCTTGGAGGCAAAAATTATGTTTTATTTATTTATCACAGTGCCTTGCACATTGCAATGGTCTTGGGCTTGGAGTTAGATGAGAGTTTAAATTATGTTTTGGACACTTTCTAGCTGTGTGACTCTGGGCAAGTCACAACTTCTCAGCCTCCGATTCCTCAGCTGTAAAATGGAAATAACAATAGCACCTACCTCCCAGGACTGTTGTGAGGATCAAACAAGATAATATTTGTAAAGTGCTTTATAAACCTTAAAGCACTATATGTTGTTGTTGTGTTGTTAAGTTCTGGGGGGGGGGTTGGCTTTTTTTTAATTTTTTTTTTTGAGCAATTGGGGTTAAGTGACTTGCCCAAGGTCGCACAGCTGTTAAGTATCAAGGGTTTGGTCTGATTTGAACTCAGGTCCTCCTGACTTCAAGTCCAGTGCTCTATCCACTGCACCACCTAGCTGCCCCTAAGTTGTTTTTCAATTGTGTTCGACTCTCCATTACCCTATTTGGGGTTTTCTTATCAAAGATACTAAAGCGTTTTGTCATTTCCTTCTCCAAGCTCATTTTACAGATGAGGAAAATGAGGCAAACAGGTTTAAGTAACTTGTCCAAGGTCAAACAGCTAGGAAGTGTCAGTGACCAGGTTTGATGAGTCTTCCTGACTTCAGGCCCAGCTCTATCCACTGCACCACCTAACTGCCCTTAAAGTGCCATATAAATACTAGCCATTATTATTATTTAGTACGGAAAAGAAGATAAGCTCTTGGAAATGATGATGGCCTATGCAGGGGTGGGGAACCTGCAGCCTTGAGGCCACATGCAGCCCTCTAGGCCCTCAAGTGTGGTCCTTTGACTGAATCCAAACTTCACAGAATAAATTCCCTTAATAAAAGGATCTGTTCTGTAAAACTTGGACTCAGTCAAAAGGCTGCACCCAAGGACCTAGGCCACATGTGGCCTTGAGGCTTCAGGTTCCCCGTCCCTGGATGATGAAATGGTATCAGAGATTCAAAGCAAGCAGATATAGAAAGGGAGAAGAAAAAAAGAAGAATGAATGGTGTGGGAAATGATTTATTTAGACCCCTGGTTAGTACAATTCAGTTGAGTTTGATTCCATGGGGGAAGTGATTATTATTGCTATACTTCTCCTCTGATAATAGTTAGTCAATCTAATGAATCCACTTGCTTAACCAATGCCTGACAAATAAATGACCAAGCCCAGTGTGGTAGAGATAACTCAACAGCGTGGGAAGTCCCCTGGCTATCTTTTATTGTACCTTCACCCTTGTTATTTCTTTGTTAGAGAAATGGCCCTATGGCATTGGCCAACAGGTCCAATGAGTACTTGACCAACGGATGACCCTATCTTCACATTGCAGGATCTGCCTTCCAATCTCTTCTCCAATCTATTGCCAACATGGGGCCAACAAAAGATCATCAGCTCTGCCCGTATTTTGATATCCTCTACCAGATAATTTATCACAAGCATGAATAATATTACTTTCCTTTAAATATTGTTCTATTTCATGAGTACCAGCAGAGGACTTGGTCAGTCCATTGTGGGGTCCAAAATTATCCAGTCTACAAAAAAGAAACTGAGGGAGAGCTCTGCGCCAATAGCACTTTATTAAGGGTCTATGGCCCCCTTTAATGAAGTGGACCTTAGATCATCCTCATGATCTGAAATGCTCCCTTTCCTTAAAGTCTTAGTTTTATAGTGCTTGCTACCCAGATGATACAGAAGAGGAGAAGCAAAACACAGAGTTGAATTGGTTGATAGACCTATTTCTTAAACTTCCAGGAGAACCTTCAATTCATGCTTGAGATAAATTATCTGGTAGAGGATATCCAAATATGGGCAGAGCTGATGATCTTTTGTTGTCCTACTTCTTTTACATGGTGGGAGTGGGGGGAGGGTCCACCAAACAGTAAGCACTTGATAAATGCTTGTTTCCTGCCTGCCTTCCAGTGCCAACATCAAATCTGAACTAAAAGAGTGTCAGCCTGACTCATGCTTACCCTTAGTAGATATATGTGATGGAAGTAGGTTAGATTAGGTGGCCTCCAGCTCTCTGTTTCTACAATTCTATCATTTTTAGACATTCATTGTAACATGTCATTTTCAGTTACAATAAAAGGTGTGTTGTTGTGGAGGATGTGCAGTCCTACAACATTTAAATGGGCCTCTGTTAAATCCTCACAAACAAAAATAAAAAGTGTTCATTCCAAAGATCCTTCTCTGGCCCTAAGTTCAGTGATGGGGTGGCCTAACTTTACTTGTCCTCATTGTGAGCCTCGGGTAGCCTCCCACTATCTCCCGAGGTACCCATCAGACACGGCATGAGACATACCTGAGCCGCCAGCATCTCCAGGTTTTGATCACAGTTCACTTTTGAAGCATTTTCTAAGATTATGTCACCATAAACAGTCATGTTGCAAAACCTAGTTGCCTTTGGGAAGCCTGCTTTAATGAAAAGAAAAATAATACAATTAGTCCCCTATTAAAATCTTATGATGATCCCTTATCCAGGTGGGGAGACAACCATGGATTCTTGAAATTTTGCTGCAGAGCACAAACTTTGATAGGGTGCACTAAGAAAGAAGCTTTTGTCATCTGAGGGCCAGGCTAGCTTCCTTCTTTCCTTCTTTTCTTTCTTCCTTTCTCCCTCCCTTCCTTCTTCCCTTCCATCTTGCTTGACTTCTCTCTTTCATCTTTCTCTTTCTCTTTCCTTCCTTCCCTCTTTCCTTCTCTTTTTGCCTTCTTTCTTATCTTCTCTCTTACTCTTCTCTTTTTTCCTTCCTTCCTTTTGCTTTCTCTCTTCTCTTCCTTCTTTCCTTCCTTCCTCTTTCTCTCACTCTCTCTCTTCCTCTTTCTCTCTCTCTCTCTCTCTCTCTCTCTCTCTCTCTCTCTCTCTCTCTCTCTCTCTCTCTCTCTCTCTCTCTCTCTCACTCTCTCTCTCCTCTCTCTCTCTCCTTCTATCTTTCATCTCCTCATTTTGCCCAGGCCAAAGGTACAAAAGCTATTCATGGGCTCAATCCCCCTACTGATCAACACAGGAGTTTTGACATGTTCCATCTCCAACCTGGGCCAATTTGCCTCTTCTTAGGCAACCTTGACCCCTCTTCCCTAGGGGGCTCACCATGTTAATGCCCAAAGTACAAAAACCTGATCAGCATAGCTCACAACAGCTCAGAATTCCTTGAGCTCAGGAGATCTGCCAGCCCTAGCTTTCCCGTTAGCTGAGATAACAGGCATGTGCCACCACATTCAGCCACCCTAGCTAATTTCAAAGAGAATCAGCACCAAAAGGTTGGCCATCAGGAGATGACTTATCTTGCAGAGGCTGCAGTAAATTCTGTAGGGCCCAATTGGGTCCACCAATGCCAAGTGACTCCTTTATCCTCAAAGATCTCTGGGTACAATTGCTTCTTTCTTGGAAGATCATAGGATGACAGATTTGGAGATGGAAGGGACCTCCCAAGGCATCTGGTCTGACTCCTTCAGTTTACAGTTGAGGAAACAGCTGAGAGATGTCCCAGACCACACAGGCATTAAGGAACAGATCCAGCATTTGAACCCAGGTTTTCTCATTCCAAATCCAGCCATCTTGGCATTGCCCCTCCATGTAAAACCACCGACATCGATAACTTATACCAGTTAATTGTGAGTGTCTAGTTATTAGTACCCTAGTATCTAAATCCCCTGGATGTTTGAACTCCCTCAGTCCCAAGAACTTCATCAATCACCCTTGAAGGCTCTTGGATGTCAAGCGTACTGCTAGGCTTTCAGGCAGCATTGCTCCCTTCTATAAAAACTGCAGCCCTCAGGAGTTAGGGGGCTTCCCACGCTGCTGAGCCCCAGGATGCTGCCGTTGCTAACTGAAGAGAAGGGGCTTGGAGGAGGCACGTTGTGAGGACAACGACATCGATAATGACAGCTCAGTGTTACAGTAGACAGAGCCCTGGGCCTGCAGTCAAGAAGTCCTGAGTTTGAATATGGCCTCAGACGCTTATTACCCGTATGACCCAAGGCAAGTCACTTTATCTCTGTTTGCCTCAGTTTCCTCAACTATGAATGGAGATGATAATCACACTACCTCCCAGGGCTGTTGTGAGGATCAAATGAGAAAATATTTATGAAGCATGTAGCACAGTACCTGGCATAGGGTAGATCCTATATAAATGTTAAGATACCAGGACCCACAGAGACACCTGTATCACTTCTGGCTCTAATCTAGAAAGGAGGTCAGGAAGACCAATTAGAAGGCTGTTTCAATAATCTAATTGAGAGGTGATGAAGGCATGAACTTAGATTATCAAGACAGCCTTCTAATTGGTCTTCCTGACCTCCTGTCTCTTCACTCCAATCTATCCTACACACTGTTGCCAAAATGCGTTTCCTCAAGCACAGATCTAACCACTTGCCTCCTTTAATCAATCAATTGCAGTGGCTTCCTATTGCCCCAAGGATCAAATATGTTTTTTTCTAAAATCACCAAATACAGTAGTATTCCATCACAATCATATACCATAACTTGTTCAGCGATTTCCCAATTAATGGGCATCACTGCAATTTCCAGTTCTTTGCTACCACACAGAGAGCTGTTATAAACATTTTAGAACATATAGGTTCTCTTCATTTTTCCCTAATTATCTTCAGAAATAGGCCAAGTAGTGGCATTGCTGGGTCAAAGGGTATAGGTAGTTTAATAACTCTCTGGGCATAATTCCATATTGCTCTACTAAATGGTTGGATCAGTTTACAATTTTACCAACAATGAATCAGTGTCCCAATTTTTCCCTATCCCCTCCAACATTTGTCACTTTCCCCTTCTATCATTTTAGCAGTCTGGTAGATATAAAATGACATCTCAAGATTGTTTTAATTTTCATTTCTCTAATCAATAATGATTTAGAGCATTTTTATATGACTACAAATTGTTTTGATTTCTTCATTGGAAAGCTACCTATTCATGTCCTTTAACCGTTTATCAATTGAGGAATGACTTGCATTCTTATAGATTTGACAAAGTTCTTTATATATTAGAGATATGAGGCCTTTATCTGAGAATCTGTCTACAAAATTTTTTCCCAGTTTTCTGTAGTGCTTCTGATCTTGGTTACATTTGTTTTATTTGTACAAAACCTTTTTAATTAAAAAATTTGTTCTTAATGAATTATTTGATAGACTGTTATAGTATCTTTGCCAATACTTTATTTAGTATTTTTGCATCAACATTCCTCAGTGATTTTGTTTTGTAGTTTTCTTTCTTTGTTTTGTCCTAGGTCTAGGTTTGGGCAACAGTACCTTATTTGCCTTACTAAAGGAGTTTTGTGATAACCTTTATTCTCACTTTTGAAAAACAATTCATGTAAAACGGTGACTGTATAATAGAATTACTTGTAAATCTGGTCCTGAAGCTTTAAAAGTAAAAAAGTTCATTTATGGTCTACTTATTTTTCCTGAAGTTAGTTCCTTTAGGTTATTCATCTCTTATTTTATTAAATTGAGTATTTTATATTCTTGTAGTTATTCACCCATTTCATTTGAGTTTTCAATTTTGCTAACATATCATTGGGCACAGTAACTTCCATTAATTACCTGTTCATTAATAACATGTTTATTAGGCTAATTATCTAATTCATTCAACTAATGAATAATTTATTCATTATTAATTTTCCCTTTTCTCTTTTTTATTTTGGTGATTTGATTCTCTCTCACTGTATATCTCTCCCAATTTAGTAATTTAGCTAATACTTATTAATTTTATTGGTCTTCAAATCATAGCTCTTTGTTTTGTTTATTGGTTCAAATGATAGTGTTTACAACATGTAAACAAGGAGCCATCAATCATTTTAAGCATTAGAGTCTTCTTTGTCTTGTTAAAAGGAAGTCAAAAGCATTGCCCAACTTGGAGGGCAAGAATAGCAGTTCTGATGTTAGTGAAGAATCATTACTTTGGCTCAAGTTTTCTTTCATTTGGGTTGGGTTTTTTGTTTAAAAATTCATTCTGATCTTCATTTTACTCTTTTCAAGGTTTTGTGTTTTAACCGGGCCATTCTATTCCTCGGGTATCCCACTGTTAAAGTGAGATTTTCCATTGAATCTCCCAGTTGTCAGGTCTCCTTCTTTGTCTTTTTTGTGTTCTTCTTTCTATATTCTTAGGTCCATGTATATACACACCAGATCTTTTTTATGTCTTTTGTTGAGTTGGGTTGTTTTTAACTGCTTTGAAGGCCTTCATTCTCTTCTAGAGGGAGATCTGGCTGTTGTCATCTTGCTCTTTCCTTTGGAGATTTATTTTGATTTTCTTTTAATCTGTAGTAGGTTTAAATTGAACTGGTGGTTCTTTTTTTTTCTTGCTCCTTTATTAATCTTTCTAACAACTTTGTGGTGAGATTTTCCCTGAAATGAAACGATTGTTTCTCTCTCTCTCTCTCTCTCTCTCTCTCTCTCTCTCTCTCTCTCTCTCTCTCTCTCTCTCTCATTTACTTATCTGATGAACTTATTGCTGTTTTCAGGTGATGATAAGGAACTTAGACAAGTCACCCATCATTGTGAAGATTATTTTGGCAGCTGGATGGAGGATGATTTGAAAGAGGGAAAGACTGGAAGCAGGGAAGTAAATTTGTATGTAAGCTAATATAATAGTTCAGGAAAGAAATGATAAAGGCCTGAACTAATGTAACAGACATCTGAGCTAATAAAATGGGTCAGTCGTGAGAGATATTTTAGAGGTAGAATCCATAGGGCATAACAATTGGATGGATATGGGGAGCAGTGGCTATGGTGAAGGAGAGGGAGGAGTCAAAAACAACTCCAAGGTAATGAACCTGGCTACCTGGGAGGATAGTTGTGGCCTCAATGGGAATAGAAGAAAGTTTAGGAGGAAGAGTAGGAATTCTGCTTTAAACCTGTTTGAGGTGCCTATAGAATATTCAGGTGCAAATATCCAGGAAGAAGTGGACAATGTGACACTGAAGGGTAGGAGAAAAGATGCAGACTGGATAGAAAGTTTGAGGAACCACTTGCATATCACTGATAATTTAACCCATGGTAGCTGATGAAATAATCAAGGGAGAGAGGATCAAAGGTTCTCAACCTGAGATCTGTGAACTCATTTTTTTTATTTGATGACTGTATTTTAGTATAATTTTATTTCCTTTGTAATCCTATGTATTTTATTTTAAACATTTAAAAATACTATTCTGAGAAGTGTTCCATAGACTTCACCAAACTTCCTGAAGCATGACACAAAAAATGCTAAGCTAGTCTAATTTAAGATATCATTAGTAATCTCTGAGGGAGCCAAAGGTGAAGTTTGAAGCCAGATTTCAAGGGTTTGAGGAGTGAGTGATAAGGAAATAAAAACAATATAGATGTAGCAGACTATAACAGAAGAGTGGCCAATGCCTATATGAGTTACATATATTTAATATTAATATTGTTTCCTTTTGTGTTCAGTATTCTCCAAAGCGGAGGTGTGGCCTGACCTGAAGGAGTTTATAATTAACTCATCAGAGATTAAGAAGATAATCTAATCATAAGACTTGCCTCCAACACAATCACACCTATCTGTTTTCCCCAACCTTTCCCTCCCCGAAGAGCTATGTAAATTCCCAACCTATCTTCTTCCTTGCTAAGAGCACCTGCTTAGGCACCCACAGAAGCATCTGCATAGATGCCATTCGGAAAATCATTGCCTCTCCAGGGCACCTTTCCCCTACCCCCTCTATGCTATGGTATCACAAGTGTCCCTCAGAGGGTTTGGCTCTGAAGCAGTGTGACCAACGAAGAAAAATCCTACTTCCCACTTTTTAATTTTTGGTGGGGCAAAGTGAGTCTCATTGGTTGAAAAGTCATGGCTGGGTTGCAACAGAATGCAGATCTCATCACATCAGCTTTTCCTCCAAATCCTCCCCTCTCGAGGACACCACCATCCTTCCAGTTAGACCTGTTGTCAACCTCAGTGGAATCCTCAACTGTTCATTCTCCCTCACCCCACATATATAATCATTTGTCAAATGTCCAATCTTGTCAGTTTCCATCTTCACAACATCTCTTGCATAAATTCTCTTCTATTTATTCTCACAGTTATCACCCTAGTTATCATCACCTTTCAGCTATTACAAGAGCCTCCTTATTTCATCCTTGCCTCAAGTCTCCTCCCTTGCCAAGCAATCTTCCCTACAACCTTCAAAATGATTTTCCTAAAGCTGAAATTTGATCATGTCACTCCCCTACTCAATAAACCACAAAGGCTCTCTTTTGACTCTAGAGTCAAACATTATTTTCTCTTTGTTTTATCCTTTTAAAATTTCTATTGTTGCACAAGTTCCATAATGTACATAACTTAGCATGGTAGTACACAATATAAATTTATTTAAAAGTAAATATACATATATTGAAGGCACTGCTCAATTTTTCTTTTCTTTTTTTTTCTAAATAAGAGGAACACATTATCAAAAAAAGTATGGAGACCACTGGCATAGATAATTCTAGGAATTTGTCGGTGAAATGGAAGAAAAATATTTACGGTTGAGTGAAGGGATTTTTAACAAATAAACTTTATCATTTGTTTTTGCATTGCTTAAATTTTCTCCTGTCCTCTGTCAGAGACCTGGCCCCTGAACTATGGTTCTGACACAACCTCTCAGCTCTTATACCTAAATTATACAAGAAAATACCTACCATTTCCAGTGTTGCTTTCACATTTTTCTAAGGAAGGTCCATATTTGCCCACTGTGATAATGTCGAAATGGAAATTGTCATAGGTGCTATTTTTACAGAAATTTACTGTATGGGAAAGAAAATGCATTTAGGGTTCATTAACGTAACAGACATTTGCAAATTTGAAATTACTGAGAGGTCAAAGGGTATGGTGTAAAAGGTCCATCAAGGCTAATCCCAATGAACCTTAAATCCCATCCCCTCCTGTCCTCTAGAGCAGACTACCTCCTCAGATCTTTAACCTGTCACGACCTACTGATTTTCTTCCCCATTGCCTTCAAATGTGCCCAAGTCTCCTCTATTTTAAAGAAACCCCCACTAGACCCTACCATGTTCTCAAGCTGTCATCCTGTATCTCTTCTCTTTTTCCCCATAGTTAAATTCATAGAAAGCTGTTTATTAATCTATATTTATATTGTATATATTGTATTTGTATTTGTCTCCTCCGTGATAATATAAGCTCATTACAAGTATGAGTGAATGGATGAAAAAACAATTACTAAGCACTTACTATGAGCAAAGCACTGTGCTAAGTTCTGGGAATTTGTTGTTCAGTGCTGACTCTTCATGATCCCATTTGGGCTTTTCTTCACAAAGATACTGGAGTGGTTTGCCATTTCCTTCTCCAGCTCATTTTACAAATGAGGAAACTGAGGCAATCAGGGTTAAGTGACTTGCCTAGAGTCACACAGCTAATAAGTGTCTGAGGCTGTGTTTGAACTCAGGAAGACAAATCTTCCTGACTTCAGGCCCTGCGCTCCATCCACTGCATCACGTAGCTGCCCAAGTGTTGGGAATGCAAATAAAAAAATAAGACAGTCCCTGCTTTCAAGAAGCTCACATTCTAATGAGGGAAACAATGCATATGGAAGGTTTCAGCCACGAGTCAGATGGAAAAATCCCACAGAGAAATGGCAAAGCAGATGGTAATGCATCATCTTTAATGTTATTTCCAGTTAAATGTTTAGATTTGTGTTTCTGATTTTGAACTACTGTCTTTCTGAGTTTTCAATAGCAGTGGCAGTAGCACTCACAGAAGCAGACCACATCTGGTGGGGGAAGGAAGAGGGGAGGAAGGATAGGCTACTTGCTCAGGATAAGGGCTTCCGTGAGCCCAGGCAGGAAGCAGTACTGGAGGTCAGGTTGAGGGGAAGGGTGGAAGGCTACCACTTCCAGGATTTGCCTATCCGTACCAATTGGTCTGTATTTAAAGAGGCTGGACCTATTCACCACAGTGATTTCTCCCTTCACAGAGGACTGTGAAGCTGCATCTGGAAGCAGGACCAATTGTCTAGAGGGCACTACTGTTCCTAAGGCTGTTGGGTTCAGGGTCCTAGGCTGTGTGCATCTGGGTCTCAGGGGAGGTGGGGTTGAAGTGCCTGGCGCACACACACACAGAAACTGCTGTCTCTCCTTCAAGGATTGCTTTATTGCTTTATTCTTTGTATTTTTGCATTTGCATTCTCAGTATCTAACACAGCACCTAATACCTAGTTATTAATAAATTGATACAATCATATAGTCATCACCTACACTTCCTCTCTTCTCACTCCTTAACACTTTGCAATCTGGCTTCCAACCTCATCCTTTGACCAAAGCTGCTCTCTCCAAAATTACCATTGATCTCTCTCTCTCTCTCTCTCTCTCTCTCTCTCTCTCTCTCTCTCTCTCTCTCTCTCTCCCTCCCTCCCTCCCTCTCTCAAATTTATTGACATCTTTTGGGTTTTTTATATCATCAGAATTTCTATCAGCATCCATTTTCATTATCCTATCAGAGAGTCATCTCACATAATAAACAATATTTTTAGGGGGAAAAAAAAGGAAAAAGAATCCTCTCCCAAAAGTCAGCATAACCCATTAATAGGGAAAAAACCTGAAAATATATACACTGTACTGTGCCTGTGGACCTTCCATGTCTGCAAAGGAACAAGGAGTGGTGCCTTCATATATCTCTTCTTTTAAGCAATGCCTGTTCTTTGCAGTTTTGCAAACTTCACCTTTTATTATTTTATGGTTGTCCTTTTAATTTACATGGTGGTCATCGTATATATTGTTTTCTTAGCTCTGCTTACCTCACTCTTCATCAGTCCATTTAAGACTTTTCATGCTTCTCTATATTCACCATATTTGTCCTCTCTTACAACACAGTGATATTCCATTACATTCATGTGCTACAATTTATTTAGCCCTATCCAATCAATGGGCATCCACTTTGTTTCTAGTTCTTTGCTTTCACAAAAAAGTGCTGCTATAAATGTCATGGTGGATATGGAAACTTTCTTTTTCGTTAACGACCTTTGTGGGCTATAAGCCTGAGACAGGTAGGCAATGCAGCAAATAGAGCACTTGGCCTGGAGTCAAGAAGACTTGGATTCAAATCAAGCCTCAAATATTTCCTAGATGTGTGACCCTGAGAAAGTAACTTAACATATGTCTGCCTCAGTTTCCTCACTTATAAAATGGGGATAAAAATAGCACATACCTCCCAGAGTTGTTGCAAGGATCAAATGAGATATTTATAAAGCCCTTAGCACAGTGCATGGCACATAGTAGGCATTATATAAATATTAGGTGGTAGTAGTAGTAGTGGTAGCAGTGGTAGTAGTGTTGGTGTTGGTGGTAGTGGTAGTAGTAGTAGAATCTCTGGATCAAAGGATATATGACATAATCAAAGTAACATGTTAATTATTTTATTTGTATAATTCTCCAAAATGGTTGTACTGATTCACAATTTAACCCACAATACACTAGTGCATCTCTCTCAACACTGATAACTCCTAATTGCCACGTCTGATGATCTTTTCTCAGTCCTAATCCTTCTCAATCTATTCCCCACATTTAAAACTATTGACCACCATCTTCCCCTGGATACTCGGTCCTCCCTGGCTTTCTCCTGGTTCTCTTCCTCCCTGTCTGAATACTCTTCAGTCTCCTTCACTGATTCATCAGCCTATCACACCCCCTAACTAAAGGCGCTTCTTAGACTCTGTCCTGGACTCTCTTATCTTCTTTCTCCACACTCTTAGTTACCTCATCAACTCCCATGGGTTTAATTATCACCACTATTCTGATGATATGTATGTGAATACAGATATACATTTATGTGTATATATCTCTATATCCAGACTGTCCACTCAATCAACAAAGCATTGGGGGCAGCTAGGTGGTGCAGAGGATAGAGCACCGGCTCTGAAGTCAGGAGGACCTGAGTTCAAATCCAGCCTCAGGCCAAACACTTGACACTTACTAGCTGTGTGACCCTGGGCAAGTCACTTAACCCCAACTGCCTAAAAAAAAAATCAACAAAGCATTGATTAAACCCCTTTTATGTGCCAAGCAATCAATAAGCATTTATTAAACTTTAACTATTAAGGCAATTGTTCTTTCCTCCCATAACAACCTGAAATTTCTGGCATTTATCACTTTCTAGTGACATTAATAGTAAGTCACCACGTTCCTGCAAAAAATGTACATATATTACGTGGGATGGGGACAGAGAAAGAAGTGCCTCTGAACTTGATCCCTTTCTAAGTGGCAGTTAGAGTGACTATACCACCCACATCGCCCTCACTAGCTTGAGCAAGTGTTCCCAGCCATTGACTGTTGCCAAGTTTTGTTTTAAGTCAATTCTGTGACTACGCAGATGATACACTCACGGGATTATACAGGGCCTCCTACATGCAGCTGATGGGCTCCTCAAGTGTTGCTGTCATGCATGCAGTTGATGGGCTCCCAACGTGTTGTTGTCATACATGCAGCTGATGGGCTCCCAACATGTTGTTGTCATGCATGTAGCTGATAGGCTCCCAACATGTTGACATTCAGTCATTTCAGCTGTGTACATATTAGATATGGCACTTGGGTTCAAATATCTGCTCCAACACTTACCACCTGTGTATTTCTTGGGAAGTGACTTTACCTCTCTGTATCTCAGTGTATGAGGGAGTTAGATTTAATGGGCTCTAAGGTCCTTTCTACCTTTACCTCTAGTTCTAAGATCCTAAATCATAGATCTAGACAGAAACAAACAAAAATACTATGTCAAGTACTGTGTTTGGGGGTTTTCTTGGCAAAGATACTGGAAGGGTTTGCCATTTCTTTCTCCAGCGCATTTTACAGATGATGATACTGAGGCAAACAGGGTTAAGTGACTTGCCCAGGGTCACACAGCTAGGCAATGCCTGAAGTCAGATTTGAACTCAGGTCTTCCTGACTCCTAAAGTATATTTCTGGAATGGTCAGTAAAGTAGCCTAAGAAGAAACTTCAACTTCTATTATCAAATTGGCAGCTGAATTTTTAAGATGACTTGATTATTGTTATTACTGTCAAGGGTGTGACAACCTCCTGCCCTATGGCTGTACTCAACATTTCTCTGTGTGATAGGCTGGCTAGGCTGACGCTGCCCTTCCTGATCACCATTCCTGACTTCCTCTTACTATTCCATGTCTGCCCTGTCCTTCCAGCGTCTTCCAACTCTTCTCTACCTTTCGTTTGTGCCTTCCAGAACTCCTACTCCTTTTTTTTTTAATAAATTGCCTTTCTTGTTAGATCTGTGTACACTCCTTGGGAATTACTTACTATGTTTTTTCTTTAATTTACTTACATGTATACATATTGTTTTACCTGAATAGAATATAAGTTCCTTGAAGGCAGACATTGTTTCGTTTTATCTTTGTACCTCTAGCACCTAGCATAGTGGGTATTTAACAAGTATTTCCTGAACTTCTAAACTGTACAATTCTTGACAACAGGGACTGTCTTTTGCCTTTTTGGGGATCCTCTTTAGCACAGAGCCTGGCACATAGTAGGTGCTTTACAAATGCTTGTTGAATAACTGTTGACAAATTGTACTATCCTCATACAAGGTCTCATATAGAACTGTGGTAAAGATCTGCAATCTTTCACTGCCTGGCCACATTAGTAAAAAAACAAAACCTCAGCCCAAGGAAACTTACCTATAGTACACCTCCATCCCTTCCATTGCTCTGGACAAACGCATCCATCCTTCTCCCAGGTGCCTCCATTCTTGCAGAAATCCAAAGAGGTGGATGGGTATGTTACTGTTGCTAGAAACACAATATGTTTAAGTAGGGTATCCAAACAAGCTGGTTTGCTTCTCTATTTAGTGCTCCGGCAAAGCAATTTCTGCGGATAAAAATCACTTTATATGGAATGTAATGACAACAGATTGTTGCCCTAATGCCCTATTCAAGGCATAGACAACATCACCAGCAACAAACATTCAATGAAGCAGCTAGGTTGTGCAGTGGACAGTGCTGGGCCTGGCATCAGGAAGACCTGAGTTCAAATCCTGCCTCCGATACTTCTGAGCTGTGTGACCTGAGGAAAGTCACTTTAACTCTGTTTACCTCAGTTTCCTCAACTGTAAAATGGGGATAATAGTAGCACCTACCTTTTTCATTAGTTCCTTTGATATTCTTGACTTTTTGTTTTTCCAAATGAATTCTGTTATTGTTTTTCCTAACAGTAAAATAATTTTGGTAATTTAATTGGGATGGCTTTGAACATATAAATTAGTTTAGGTAAAATTGTTATTTTTATTATGTTGGCCCTGCCTGCCCATGAGAAATTAATATTTCTTCAATTATTCAAATCTGTATATATAAAGTTTTTTATAATTTTATTCATATAGTTCTATGGAACAGAGAAGACATACAATTTACAGCAGCAAATAAATATAATAACCTTGCATTTGACAAAGGTAAAGATTTAAGTTTTGGAGATAGCAGCACTCTTTGTGGTGGCAAAGAACTGGAAATTGCAGGGATATCCATCAATTGGGGAATGGCTAAACAAGTTTTGGTATATGATTGTGATGGAATACTACTATGCTATAAGAAATGATGAGCTTCATGATCCTAGAAAAACATGGATAGACTGTCATGAAATAATGAAGAGCAAAATGAAATGAGCAGAACCAAGAGAATGTTGTATATACAGTAACAGCAATATTGTTTAAGAACAACTTTGAGTGACTAAGTCATTTTAACTAATATACATACCCAAATTAATTACAAAGGAAATATGGAGGAAGACACTACCTGCCTCCACAGAAAGAACTGATAAATAGAAGTATGTATAGAGTAATTTTACACATATATGTAATATGTATGTATATGCATGTGTATATGCATGTGTATATGTATATGTATATGTATATGTATATGTATATGTATATGTATATGTATATGTATATGCATATGTATATGTATATGCATATGTATGTGTATATGCATGTGTATGTGTATATGTATGTGTATATGTATATGTATATGTATATGTATATGTATATGTATATGTATATGTATATGTATATGTATATGTATATGTATATGTATATGTATATGTATATGTATATGTTTATGTTTATGTTTATGTTTATGTTTATGTATATGTATATGTTTATGTTTATGTTTATGTATATATACATACGTATTTGTGTAATGGTAGCCATCACTGGGGCAAGAGGGGAGAAAAGAAGAAAAAAAGGAAAAAAAGTTACATGATAATTTTATTAAATATTTAAAAGGAATAGCAAGTAGTACATAGTAGATTTGCAGTTTGACACACAATCATATTTTTTTTTCTATTCTACTATATTATGGAAATGCTTGTTTTATTTCTTAAGTTTAGAATAAAATAAATTTTTTTTAAAAATGCTATCCACCTCCAGAGAGAGAACCGATGAATTCTGAGTGCAAATTGAAGTATGATTTTCTTGGTTTCTTTTTTTTAAATATGACTAATATGAAAATATGTTTTGCATGATTTCACATCTATAATTGATCTATTTTTTGCCTTCTCAGTGGGTGGAGGAGGGCTAGGAGGGAGGGAAAGAATCTAGAGCTCAAAATTTAAAAAGAAAAGAATGATAAAAAAATAATAAATATTATAATAAAAATAATTTAGCAAGTAAAAAAAAAGACATTAGGGCAAGTCTGTATACACCATGATGTGAACATTACATACTGATCTTACTACTGTTTTAGACTTTGAAACTTGGGAAGCACAAATGTCAAGCCAAGCAAAACTGTCTAAATCACCCTTGAACTTGTGAATCCTTTTGGAAATTGGAAGATTCGTGTGTGAAAACTGATAAACAGGGCAGCAATAAATAATACAGGAAAAGACAAAAGCAAAAAAAAACCAACCCAGCACCTACTTCACAGAGTCATCATGAGGACCAAATGAGATATTTCTACAGTGCTTAGCACAGGGCCAGGCACATAGTAGGTGCTATGTAAATGCTTTCTGCTTTCACTTCCCTACTCCCTTCTCTTCTCCTCCTACAACAGAGTGTGGGAACTGGCACGTAGAATTTGGAGTCCAAGGACTTGAGGTTCAGATGCCATTTCCTAACTTTGTGTGCATAAGAAAGTGACTTACCTCTCTGGGCCTCAGTAAAATGAAGGGGTTGGGTGAGATAGAACCTATCAGCAAGAATTTATTAAGCACTTACTACATGATAGGCACTAAGCTAAGTGCTGGGGATACAGAGAAGCAAAAACCTACCTCTGTTTGCCAGAAGGTCTCATTCTAAAGGGAAAGGACATTTATGTAGCAGAAGACTCATCTTCACGAGTTCAAATCTGGCCTCAGACAGTTCCTAGCTATGTGACCTGAGGCAAGTCACTTAACCCTGCTTGCCTCAGTTTCTTCATCTGTAAAATAAGCTAGAGAAGGAAATGTCAAAGCACTTCAGTATCTTTGTCAGGAAAACCCCAAATGAGGTCACGAAGAATTAGACAGGACTGAATGATGACAACAATATATTCCTTTGTGATATGTGGATGGTTTTTTAAAAAAGAATTACAGGGGCGGAGCCAAGATGGCACAGTAAAAGCAGTGACTTGCTTGAGCTCTCCCCAAATCCCTCCAAATACCTATAAAAAATGGCTGTAAACAAATTCTAAAGCAGCAGAACCCACAAAAAGACAGAGTGAAACAAATTTACAGCCCAACACAACCTGGATGGTTGATTGGAAAGGTATATTGCACTAGGCTGGGAGAGGAACATGATTCAGTGTAGGCGCTCAGGCAAAGCAGGCCTCAGAGGACTGAATCGAGGGCATCTATGGCAGTTTCCAGACTTCTCAACCCACAAATGCCAAAGACAACTTAGAAGGTCAATGGGAAAAGTCTGTGTCTGTGGTGAAAGAGAGAGGAGTGGTCCCAGCCCCAGTCCCCAAGCTCAGCCCCTGGGTGGTGGCTGCTTCCAGAGCTTTGGGCTCACAGACTAAGGGGGAATCGAGTGGCTGATCAAAGGAGGATTGCAGGGATCTCTCTGCTTGGTGCAGGACTCTCTTGCTTTGCCCATGCTTGGATCTGAGTCACAGTTCTGGGTGGTGGTCTTAGGGTGAGGAGGAGTACTGGCATGGTGGAGTTTGTAGTGGCAGTAGAGAGCAAATCCTCCTCATAGTTCCAAGACAGAAAAGAGTGCTTGTGGTCACTTATAGACCAGAGCACAGGCCAGGAAAGAAGCAAACACCTTGTCCTCGATCATAGCACCTTGGAAAAAATGAAAATTTGCAGGTCCCTAGAAATATCTCTGAAAACAGCTGCACAAAACCCCCGAAGCTTGGGACAGTACATTCTCCACACTGGAAGCAGACCCCTACCTTAACAAAGAGTTTATAACTCAAGTGATTGGCTGAGATCATGAGCAAACCTCACAAAAAGAGTCAGACTATATTATCTTACTTTGGTAACAAAGAAGAATAATGCATACAACCAGAAGAAGACAACAAAGTCAAAGTTCCTACATCCAAAGCCTCCACAAAAAATATGAATTGGTCCCAGGCCATGGAAGAGCTCAAAAAGGATTTTGAGAAGCAAGTAAGAGAAGTACAGGAAAAATTGAGAGTGATGCAAGAAAATCACGAAAAACAAGTCAACAGCTTGCTAAAGGAGACCCAAAAAAATACTGAAGAAAATAACACCTTAAAAAGTAGCCTAACCCAAATGGCAAAAGAGGTCCAAAAAGCCAATGAGGAGAAAATTGCCCTAAAAAGCAAAATTGGCCAAATGGAAAAGGAAATCCAAAAGCTTACTGAACAAAATACTTCCTTAAAAATTAGAATGGAGTTATTGGAAGCTAGAGACAATTTGAGAAATCAAGACACTGTAAAACAAATCCAAAAGAATGAAAAAATAGAAAACAATGTGAAATATCTCATTGGAAAAAAACTTAACTGGAAAGTAGATCCAGGAGAGAGAACTTAAAAATTATTGGACTATCTGAAAGCCATGATCAGAAAAAGAGCCTAGACATCATCTTTCAAGAAATTATCAAGGAAAACTGCCCTGATATTTAGAACCAGAGGGCAAAATAGAAATTGAAAGAATCCACCAATCACCTCCTGAAAGAGATCCCCAAAGGAAAACTCCTAGGAATATTGCAGCCAAATTCCAGAGTTCCCAGGTAAAGGAGAAAATATTGCAAGCAACCAGAAAGAAACACAATCAGGATAACACAAGATTTAGCAGCTTCTATATTAAGGGACGAGGAATTGGAATATAATATTCCAGAGGGCAAAGGAGATAGGATTACAACCAAGAATCACCTACCCAGCAAAACTGAGTATAATCCTTCAAGGGGAAAAATTGACATTCAGTGAAATAGGGGACTTTCAAGCATTCTTGATGAAAAGACTAGAGCTGAATAGAAAATTTGACTTTCAAATACAAGACTCAAGATAAATGTAAAGAGGTAAACAGGAAAGAAAAATCATAAGAGACTTATTAAGGTCAAACTGTTTATATTCTTGCATGGAAAGATGATATTTGTAACTCATAAGACCTTTGTCAGTATTAGGGTAGTTGGAGGGTAAAAATTATATGTATGTAGATAGATAGATAGATAGATAGATAGATAGATAGATAGATAGATAGATAGATAGAAGATAGAGGGCACAGGGTGAGTTGAAGATGAAGGGGTGATATGTGGAGAATAAAATTAAGGGGTGAGAGAGGATTATACTGGGTGAAGAAGAAAAGGAGAAGTAGAGTGGGGTAAATTATCTCACATAAAACAGACAAGAAAAGG